AGGTGTGTTCAGTAGACCGAAAAATTCACTGCACTTCGAGATAAGCCAAGTAAAAAATGGCTTGGGACTTTGAATATACTTCGACATAAGCGGGGTATTCGAGATTACCATGTTCGAGATATCAGGTGTTTTTTAAATCATATATATAGAGAATACGGCCGGGACCAGCAATAGACTTCGACATAAGCGGGGTATTTCGAGATATCCCATGTTCGAGATACTGATATTTACCTGTATTATAATTAAGTTATTCATAATCCTTACAACGCTTGTTTGTATCGTCGTTTCCCTTTTAACTATAGATGGCCGATCGCATTCATGTCAAAGTTTTAAGGTAAACAAAATGGAAACGGAACGTGCCTCAAATTGCTCCGATTGCATGTCCATTTACAAAACATCTTCAACGGCAGGGGGCCTAGGCTGTCCCCGGACCATGCCTTACTATTTTTCATTTCAGAATGTTGGCAGCTCTGTACCTATGAACACTAGAAAAGTTTTCTTATCTATTATCAATTCTGTACCATAATGCAGGTTTAAATGTTAAGTAAACCGTCAGTTGTGAAAGTCAGTGCTTCTCGTAAAAGTCCAGTAGGAACTGTATAAATCTAATACTTCTGTTATTCCTTGACAGCAGTAGAAGGCGGACCCCTGATTAACCTTATCAACACTCCAACAGACGAGGGAACCAGACTGCTCAGCTTCAAATTCCACAAGGTCAGATTTAAAACAGTGTCATGGAGTTGTCTTTAAGACCTGGGGCTGGGGACTTCCCTCACCTAGAAAGAGGAAATTCAATTCACAGAAACTCTGCATCTATTTTTACCTCCTAATTAAGTTCTTTTGATATGGTGCTTCAGATCTAGTTCTAGGTTTTTTTTTTTTTTAATCAGGATTTTTTAAAATAATTTTATAGGCAGATCCAACTGGCCCAGAATTCAGTTCAACATTTGAGAACACAGAGCAGACAATTGACATCAAATTTACCTCCCTTGAAGTTCTCCTCCACCAGGAGGCGCTGCTGAGTGTGCTGAAATTTGCCGCTCAACTACAGCGTAGTCTACAAGTAAGTCAACTTACAACTACAGTGTAGATTACAAGTAAGTCATCAACACAACTACAGCGTAGTCTACAAGTAAGTTATCTTACAACACAGCATAGTCTACAAGTAAGTCAACTAACAACTACAGTGTAGTTCACAAGTACATCAACTTACAACTACAGCATAGTTTACAAGTAAGTCAACACAACTACAGCGTAGTTCACAAGTAAGTAATCTTACAACTACAGCGTAGTCTACAAGACTTAGTACTGTAAACGTATATTACATTTGGCGGTGTATTCTTTTTAGCACTTTTGGCGGAAAGATACTTCCGCTAATTCAAGTACACTGCTAAATGTCTTAAACATTGATACATGAATGAGAACATCAAGAAATGCGCTAATTCAAATATACGCTAACTTGTTTACAAATCATTTTCCACTAAATATTGTACATGCCAAATATAATACATTTACGGTAAGTCAACTAACAACTACAGTATAGTTTACCACCAAGTCACCAACACAACTACTGTAAACAGCGTAGGTTACAGGTACCTCACTTAACAACTGTGACACAGTCATGTAGGTTAGACCATCACATAACTATAACAGTAGAGTTTTACAAAATCTAAGTCTTACCAACCGATGTTTCTTTTAACAAGGCACATGAAAAATTCCACATAAATAAATGATTTAAAACTATTGAAAAAAGGCCTATATTCTACATCAAAGGGGAGTCTATGATTAATGAGAATAAATTCTGTCCCAATTATCAGGTTACCGAGTCCACACCTCCAGAAACAAAGATGGATGACAAAGAGAAACAACAGAAGAAGCCGACACAGACAGAAAAACAAACAACAACCAAAAGTAAAAAGAAAGGTTTGTTGGAGTTACTCTTTATAGTCAGGGTTTCTGGGGATTGACATCTTAATCTGTTTTGTCCAATTTTCTTTTTGTCATGGTCTACTAACAACACTTTGTCAAATAATGATGAAATTTACAAGTTTAGTTTGTTTGACTTTAAATAGGGATTAACTTCTAAGATTGTCTATTTTTTATCCATGCTGCATCTAAAAAATAAATCTTAAATAATTTTTTTTTTAATGATTCTGGTTGAATTAATTCAGGTATAAGATAGTATCTTATTTAATAACCTCATGACATTTCTTTGTATAGAAAAAGGTTGGATAGGATAACTGTAATCTATATATTGAATTTCTGTATAATGTCTAAAAGTAAAGTCTAGAAATAAGTCAGGTTATTATTGAACTATAACTCCCTGGATCTCTTCTGTAGAGACCGAGGACTCCAGAATTAACATGAAGGTAACGGCAGAGCTGGAGGGTTTCGGAGTCGCAGTGTGTACCAACAACAGTGTCCTAACCAATATCCGAATCAACGGTAAGAGTCTGATAGTTGACGGAATCATAAATTCTGATATAGTGAATGAATGGTTTAGTTAAGTGAATCAATGCTCCAGTTCTGATATAGACATATAGTCATATCTGATCATTTTGTCATTATACTAAGTAAATTGATTATATAATTTTGTATAAGGCCTTATACCAGAACAGCAAGTCTTCATTTTCTAACAGTTAATTGTTGTCATGATTTAGTTGCAGAAAATAATCGCCAAGGCTTGGGAATAAAAAACACACAACTTGTTGGATAAAAATCATATCCAACTACAAATCATGGGAGATTCTTTCCATTCCATGTTTACTTTAATACTTCACAATCAATGTTTTACACTGTTTTTATATATAGGACTCCATTCTTTTTACTTAATCACGCTTACGCAAAAAACATTGTGATGTCACAATTGCACTTAACTGTGGGATATCAAAAACAATGGTAAACATGGGATAATATGTTGTATTTGTACATTTACAGGAATATCAGCGGGAGTTGTGTTACAGGACAGTAAGACTAGTGTGACCTCTGAACTAAGGGAGGTTACTGTGTATGACATCAACCCTAACACAAAATACCCAAAGGTAAGGATTATACCTTGAGGAAGTGACTCTTTCTTAAACAAAACTATAACTGGGTGAATTTAAAACGAGGCAAAATTATTTGCAAAGGTGAAAGGGCGAAAATAACCCTGAATACAGTAATGTTTATGGAATGCTCAAAAATATAGGATATGATAATTTTTTACCATAGAAATAATGAATCTCTCTTTTTATCAGTTAAAGTTAAGTGTCTATAATATTATTTTCAAAATTAGTTCCATTTCTTCCTGTTGTGAATCAAGCAATGATTGTCTCTCTTAGTGAAAATATTTTGCCACTTAGAATTTGCTTGACTGACGTAGATTACAATTAAGAGCTTTATTTCTGCTGTAGGTGATGGAGATACAGGGTGATGCGGTGTTGAAGCTGGCGCTGACGATTTACAATGACGCGACAGAGGGAGATAACTACTCTGACATGTCGTGTGTCGATACTAGCGTCGACGTTCAGCTTGGATGTATCAGAGCTGTGTTCCTCATGAGATTTGTCAATGACCTTCTGGTAAATACGACAAACTTTACAGTCATATTAAATTGACTGCAAAACTGCCTTAAGAAATTTGATTTAAAATTACTAACACTACCTTTACTGTCAAGTATGTAAGCAAATTTCAAATACCTAGCTAATCAACAATATTTTGTCAGAGTAGACAGGGTGTTGGATTGTGTAAAGAACACGGAAAGTATTTAATATATGGGAATGAAAATAAATGTTTTCATTTAAAGTGAAATAGATTGCTCAGGGTTGTACAGTTTTTACTGTACCTGACTTGAAAATCTATCCAAGAAAGTGAGTTATCTTTAAACAAAAAGTGAGGGTGTTAAATGTTGAGATAATAATTGACAAGTGAAGTTGTCCAGAGTATGGGAATAAATCTGTTAAGCTGTCCATTGTCAGGAGACACATAGTAAAAATTTATAATTTTATCCTCAAATTTTATGATTGCTCATTACATTGATTTCAACGTTTTCTGTCACTTGCATATAAGTCTAAAAATTTAATTTTATGATTGTTCACATTAAGGATTACCTGACTGGTTTCCAAGTGGAGGAGTTGGAGAGTCAGATTGAAGCGGCGAGGGACAGAGTCCGCGAGGCGTCCGAGGCAGTGGCAGAGAGCGCTAGGGGTGCGGTAGCCAGGCTCGCGGAGAAATCGCCACGCGTGTCTATCAGGGTCGGGATGAGTGCCCCAGTCATTATTGTACCTCAGAGGTCAGACTCCCTCAAGGTGCTGATGGTGGACTTTGGACATTTGGAGGTCGGGAATTCGTTCAGTCCAGTGAAGACCAAGGCTGATATCCCGGCCGTTCTGGACTCCATGAAGATCTGTCTGAAGTCACTTAAAATTGCAAGGTTTGGGGTTATTTGTTTATATTCTATTAAATTAGATCTGCAGCCCACATATTTTAAAGATGTTTAGTAACTGTTGTACAAGAAAAAGGGCCACAATAATTTAGATCTATTTCCTCTTTATAACTAATGTTTACAATTTTAAAGGATAAACAGAAATTTATACCCTGAATAAATCATTACCATTATCTTTCTATTTAGAAATTATTGGTCTTTAAAGAGAGTGTGTAGAGATGATAATATTTAAACCAACTTTTATTCACAATGACTTTATTTTACAATTTATCAGGGTTAAAATAGTTCACGATGATTAGTTTTCGTGATTAAGCCTTTGTTGGATTTGTAGTCAATAGACAAGGAGACTTACACGACCTGTTCATGGCGAGAAATATTTGCAAAGAGGATGCTCTTACAAACTTCGCAAAAATTTCTTGCACACAAATAAAAGTGGGTTTACAGTATTTTATGTAAAATATTGGTTGGAAAGTAAAATCTATTCTAATTTAGACATCTCCGATTCTTAGCAAATTTTCCAGTCAGTAAGAACATGTTCTGAATTGGACAACAGTTACACATTGAATTTATTGAAAAGGACTGAGAGTTAAGATCAAACTTGGCAACGTTTAAGAATTACAATGTCCAAGTTAGATAAGAATCATATACTGTATGTAATATACACACTGAGGTAAACTTATTTGAAAACCATTGTGTGACATGATTTTGAAAGAGTTGAAAACAGAATTTTGATTATGTGATACATTGAAGAAATCAATTTACGATTTTTATGTAGGAATTTCTTTCTAACTTTACAGAGCTGAGCTGAACGAGAGCAAAGCAGTAGTGGGTCAGTGTTTAATATTAGAACCAGTCAACATAACTCTATCAGTGACACGGAATCTGGCATTTGGTTGGTACAAAGAAATCCCCGCAGTGGACCTCAGCGGACAGCTAGAGAGTATATCTGTAAGTAAAAGAAAGTACTCTGCAGTAAATTTGAGTTTGTAAGGATTAAATTGACTATAGATCACAAAAAAGAAAATGCTAAAATATCGAGAAAAAAAAAAAAAAATAGATTAGGTCATTTTTATCAATGTTATCTATGGACTCAGGACAAGAACTGAATAGGTAGGAGGAATTTTTTTGTAACTTAGTTAAAACTTATCAATGATATGAAAAGATGCCCGGAATGATCAAAATAATAATTGTTTTCATCAGGTTAAATTTTCTTGTTTTGGAATTGAGCCTATTGCTCTAGAGAGGGCATAAAATACTGTTTATTTCCTTTATTTTTTTATAAGGCCACCGTGAGTCAGGGTGACTACAAGGTAATATTGACCTTACTGAATGACAACCTGTCAGAGGGTCAGAAGTCAGAGAGTGTTGCTAAGCAACCAAAGGTCAAGGACACAGAACTGACACAAGCAGAGAGTCCCCCAACACAGCAGGAGGAGGCTACAGTTGGTAGGTGTTGTACGGAGTCATGTGAATAAATAACTTTCTCGGTATTTCTAGTAAATAGATTTTCATCCATGAGTTTAACATAAAATTATTATAACAAATTAAGAGGATAATCAGGATTTTAACTGATTTGTGCATATTATTTAGTAACAGAGTATCATCAGATTAAAGAATATGATGTTATCTATAGATTGTGAATTTATATCTGTTACACTGCTTCAATTTAAAAGAAAATAAAATATTAGAATAAAGTGAAGTTATTGTGAAGAGTTTTCTCCCCTAACAGCTGGTTCCCCGTCCATCACAGTTACTCCCCCTGAGCAGTCCGATTCCTTCAAACTCCACACACAGCTCAAGTTTGAGTTCCAGATCACAACACTGTCTGCCACTCTCTACACAGGGGAGAGCAATCTGGTGAGTCAGATGTTATATGATAATCTAAAGGGAGAGATATCAGAAAGATACTGTAATTAAGTATAATAAAAGAAAAATTTCGAAAAAGTCAAAGGATGATCTGGCTAGTGTTCTTCATTGCTAATTTTTATGGTTATTCAGAACAGCCAAGGACATTGAAAGGATTTTATGTGGAAAAACATTTTACCATATGGCATTTAAAAACAGAATATTATAATGTATTTTGTCACAATGTCCTTATTTGTTTGAACTCAGACAAAAGATGGAGAAAACTCCAGGTCAGCTGATAATGCCCTAGGTCAGTTCATGCTGGAGGTCATCAGGGTTGATGGTCAAATGAAGAGTGATGGCTCCATGACAACCAAGGTCATCCTCAAGGACACTGTACTGGATGACAAAAGGAAGGAGAAACAAGAAAAAGCAGGAGTCAACAGGTAATGAAAGAAAAATAAGAGGTAGGAATGCATATGGGGAGGGGGGGACAATAATCCTTGTGTTTTATCAATTAGGCGTAAAAAAAAAAATAAGTTTGTTTGCAGTTGCCTACCGACCCACTGAAAATGCACCCGACCCAAACTTTTTTTTAGCCATTTTGTAATTTTTTTTTTTTTTTTTTTCAATTTTTCAGAATATTGAAACTGTATCTTTTTCAAATTTTGACTTTTGTTTTTTTTCAATCAGTGGTTTATAACAAGGGTTGAGCTTACTCGTGTGTAGTAGGTCTATGAAAACCTCTTTTATTTGTTATATAACAAAAATCCAATTTTTTTTCAAAAAAAAAAAAAGAATGCCTACCTACCGACCCAGTCTAAAAATTATAGGTCGGCAACTGCAAATAAAGAATTTTTTAAGCTTGGCCTAATGTGAAGTTATAGTAATATTTCAGGTTTCATTTATTGAAATACTTAATCTGTGAAGATATCTTTGTTCCGATAATTTATAATTAATATAACTAATATAACTAATTTTTAAGCATTGATAAGTCCATTGATAATAATCATTATGCAAAAATTTAGATGCTCACTACAAAAAATCCATGATACTGTGTACAAAATTTAAAAAGACTTGAGATAGTTCACTCCCACTGAGCATCAGTAACCATGGTAAGGGTATCATGTTTACACAGATATAATGATAGGATGTAAGTTAAGTTGTGTTGCCCTTAAGAATATTACTGATATCATTTACTGTTTCACTGCTTAGTTCACAAGGTGCCATCAGGTAAATAATTAATTTCTGCATGTGTTTTTTACTAACACAATATATTTATCATATGTAGTTGTTGTTAGAGCCTGCTGGGTATAGCTCATGATTGACCCAGTAGAAATTATCTTCGGCTCTTAGGTGAAAACCAGTATGATTTTGTGTGACAATGCATTTGAAATGTAATTTCCTACTGTTCTAGTGTCACTAGAAAACACTAGTGGTCTGAGGAAATACTTTTGCTTTCTTATAATCTAGCGAATGGAAGTTACTCTGGAATCTGTCCGACTGACTTTTTTCAGGAATTCTATATTTTTTTTTCATCCTAAAGGTTTCATACTTGTCTTAGTACTTTGAAAGTGCATCGTTTCATCACTGAATGAAAGAGAATCTCTAGAGCATTTTGTAGCATAGAAAAGAATTTTTGAAAATAATTTCTGAATTATTATTTTTAACATTTCAGCAGTTTGCATGAATTGTGTCATTCACAAAATTTTTTAATTTGAATATTTAAAACTATATGATTTTTTTAATTGCATGCATTTTTAATTTGTTGATTTTTTTTTGGGGGGGGGATTAAAATTTCTTGCGAAATTTTGTCCTCTCTTGTAAGAAAACATTTCAAAATAGGTTTGTTTATTTCCAATTATATATAGAATAGAAACTCCTTACTCTTATCCCCTTATGAAAAACATTTAAAGATAAAACATATCCATATCCCTGGAAACCCCTAGGTTTGTGTGGTGGCAAGGATATATTATAACAGTATTCATTTTTGTTTGTCTTAAAAGACTGAAATGTTACTAGGAATTTGAACTAGAAGAAATATAAGTATTTTGCCAGCTTCCAAACTCTTGTAGGATATACTGTATGAAACAAAGTTGGATTTATTCATTTATAAAGCCCTGTGTTGCATTCAGTAAGCTCTCTCGTATTCTAAGATCAATTCATGTTGTTCACACTTTTTATTGTATCATGAAGCAATCAAATCCCCTTTTTTGCATCCAATTCTTTCATCATTCATTTACATGTAATCTGTTCTACAGACAATTGACACATTGAACTTCATTTGCTTCTTTATACCCATACAAATATCCAACATTTCATTCCACATGTCTATCCATTCTTTCACCAGAATTTCCTCTACAGAGTATATTTTTACTGTTTTTAGGATGATAGAGAGGTTTACAGGGGAAGGGAAGCAGGAGAATATGATAGATGTAAACTTCACCCAGGAACCCAACCAAGATAAGGACAGTGAGTATGAGAGAGAGAGAGAGAGAGAGGGGGGGGGGAACCCAACCAAGATAAAGACAGTGAGTATGAGAGAGAGAGAAGAAGAAGATAGGGGGGGGGGGCGAGAACAAGGCAGAGAGAGATAGCTTTTATTGTTTTGTTGGTTTATAATTCTAGTACAAGTGGAGATATCATGCTGCTATTAGTTGTTATTTAAGAATAAAAACTTAGGGAAGATATTCATCTGCTATCTTTATGTTATTTTAGTACAAGTGAAGATATCCAGTATCAGGGTGGTAGCCTGTCTGGACTTCCTGCTGCCCCTTGGTGACTTTTTCACCAGTGGACTACCAGACTCACAGCCAACAGCTCAGACTCAAACACAAACACAGAGTAAAGGTCTGTATTCTTGTGTCTTCTCTCATAAAGAAATAAGCAATTTTTAATCAGATATCATTCCCTTTTCTAAGTAAACATTGCTACATGCTGTCAATGACAAGACCACAGTATCTATATTATAAGTGTTAAACCCTGTGTTTCACATTTTCTAAGTAGGCAGAGTGAATTTTTGTTAGTCTACTTTTTTTTGGAATAAAACAAAATAATGTTTTCCTATTCACCAAATATTTCTTATTTGGTTGTCCTTGTGGCTATTCCAACAAGTCTGAAATTCAAGTACTGATGACAAGTAGTTATTTGATTGACAGCTTTGATCCCAGCTAAAGCCCCGCCTCCTCCTACCAGTGAAATGTCAATCATCGTTACCATGGAGAAACCAGAAATCATTCTGATTGAAGATCAAATGGATCCCACGTCTAATGCTCTCTTGCTCAGTGTAAGTATGGACAGACGCTTTGATTACAGTTTAGGTCACTTACAATGGGGCTCCATTTTCTTTTTTCAAACTACAGTAAAACTGGGTTATAACGAAGTCACTGGGACCTATGAAATTACTTCACTAAATCCGTAATTCATTATAACCATATAAGAAATCCATTGAATTTATAAAGCTGGGGATTAAAGATGACTTCGCTATATCCGTAAATTCTCAATATCAATGTTCATACTAAATGAGTTTTGCTGTATAGTAAAACTGGGTTCAGTGGGAGGTACGAAATATTCTTAATTCATTATATCCGTAAAAGGAATTTGTTAAATTTATAGAGTTGGGGATCAAAAATAAATTTGCTATATCCTTGAATTTACAATATTTCCATGTTCGTACTGAACAAGTTCTACTGTATGTTGTTTATAATGTTTCTATTTATAGATGGAGTTGTTATTCAGAATGAGGGTAACCCCGGAGACCCAGGATATGTCGGCGAGTGTCAGTAATCTACAGATTGCATCGGCTATCTTCAACGAGAGGGAAAAACGCAAAGCCCAGGTAAATGTATAGTGAAACCTGTCTAATCCGACATACGCTGTGAGACAAATTTTGTGTCGGAATAGACAGGGTGTCTGATTGCACAATGTAACACATGGAAAATTGTCAAATGGGAAAGAAATTTAATGTCAGAATTCACAGTGTGTCAAATAGGACAGTTTTCATTGTATATCTTTATACCTTGAGTTAAATGTATATGAGTGTTCTTCAGTTAGTCTTGAATTCATTTTATATCTGAGTTTTTAGTATGACAGCTTATTCAATTGCAGATTTTGAATTATTCTGATATTTGAGTGAAACTAATAAGATATCATTCAATAGTTTACTCTGATTTTTAGCTCACCTGAGCCAAAGGCTCAAATGAGCTATTCTGATCACATTTTGTCTGTAGTCCGTCCGTCCGTCCAATTTTAACCAAACTTGGTACAAAGCATCCTTGGGGGATGAGAAGGTTAAATTGTTAAAATAAAGGGCCAGATCCCCGTCCAAGGAGAGATAATCAAGAAAAGACAAAAATAGGGTGGGGTCATTAAAAAATCTTCTTCTCAAGAACCACTGGGCCAGGAAAGCTGAAACTTATGTGGAAGCATCCTAGGGTAGTGTAGGTTCTAAATTTTAAAAATCATGACCCCCGGGGGTAGGGCGGGGCCACAATAGGAAATCCAAGTTTTATATAGAAATATATAGGAAAATCTTTGAAAATCTTCTCAAGAACAACTGGGCCAGAAAAGCTGAAACTTATGCAGAAGCATCCTAGCTAGGGTAGTGTAGATTCTAAATTTTTAAAATCATGACCCCCGGGTGTAGGGCGGGGCCACAATAGGAAATCCAAGTTTTACATAGAAATATATAAGAAAAATCTTTAAAAATCTTCTTCTCAAGAACCACTGGGCCAGAAAAGCTGAAACTTATGTAGAAGCATCCTGGGATAGTGTAGATTCTAAATTGTAAAAATCATGACCCCCAGGGGTAGGGCGGGGCCCAATAGGAAATCCAAGTTTTACAAAGAAATATATAAGAAATATCTTTAAAATCTTCTCAAGAACCAGTGGGCCAGGAAAGCTGAAACTTAGGTGGAAGCATCCTTGGGAAGGGTAGATTCTAAATTGTTCAAATCATGACCCCGGGGGGATTGGGGGTTGGGGGCCACAATAGATATAAGAAGAGGGGAAATCTGGAACTGCATCACAAAAGTTACTCAGGTGAGCGATGTGGCCCATGGGCCTCTTCTTTGTGATATCTGAGTTAATAAGATATCCTTAGTTGTAGATTCTAAATCATTATTTAGTTTCAGATTTTGAATGCCTGTGATATCTGAGTGAAACTTACAAGATATCATTTAATATGATCTAGATCCTGAATCTTTTTGATATCTGGCTTAATGAGTTATCCTTAAATTGTAGATCCTGAACCCTTGTGATATCTCGTTCTACAGTAAAGCACCCCAGGGCAAGGCTCCTCACATGGATATCTCGACATCAGACCTCATACTCAACATATCCCCTCGCACAATACGCACCATCACTCTGATATCTGTCAGTCTGTCCAAGCAAGGCGTAAGCATAAGAGAATGTGCAATTTCTTCAAATATTAACAGAGAATGTCATCTTAAAAAGATATAGTCATATGCCTTGATTTGTAATCTTCACTGTAACAACGCTGTACACCAGTATTTATTGAAGTATTTATCATCTAATATTTTTTAAAATAATTAAGATTGCCCATAAAGATCAGAAACCCAGTATACTGTAAACCATCTTTTATTCGCAACAACATTATTTCACGATTTGCCAGGGGTTAAGTAGTTCGCAACAATTAATTTCAAGCCTTTTTGGAGCTGTTGTTAATAGACACAGAGACTTTAAGGACTGGTTCACGGCAAGAAATATTTGCAATAATGAGGCTCTTGCAAACCTTGTGAAAATTTCTCACACGTGAATAAAAGTTGGTTTACAGTATCATGTTTATAGAGAATAATGGGTATCCCCCAATTTCCCAAAATGTCTCTGTTTTTCCCAATTTTGACTGACCCTGATTATTCCCAAAAAGTGGTGTGAGAGCCATGACTTGTGTACATTTTGTGCAAATGAGGAATCCAATATTTTATTTATATGGTAGTAGAACTTATTTCAGATCACAAAGTATGCGAGTTATGAGAAAGTTCTGTCATGTATCACACTGATGCCTCTAAACTCTTTTTAAAGGGTGCTTTTGCTACTTTATAAAACTATATCCATCTGATTTTTAGACAACGGAAGAAGAAAAGGCCAAGACAAAGATCCCAGCAGATTTGTGGGGAGTAAAGAAAGTGTCGGACTGTAAATTCTGGTTCCTTAAGGAGGCCCAAGTCATAGAGCCTGGGATCATTGAGGACGTGACTCCAGTCCTAGACCTAGAGGAGCAGGAGCAGGCCAGAGGAGAACAGGTAAAGCTGATTGGCTGTAAAAAAATAATGAAAGATTTGATTGGTTAATGAAGGGCAAATAGGCAAGAGGAAAACAGGTAAAGCTGATTGGCTGTAGAATTATAAAGAGAGATTGGATTGGTCAATGAAGGGTATGCAAGAGAGGAAAAGGTAAAAAGCTGATTGGCTAGAATTATGATGAGAAATTTGATTGGACACTGAGGGCAAGCTAAAGGAGAGAAAGTATGAAGCTTATTGGCTGAAAAAAATAGTGCATTTGATTGGTTCGTTGAACCAATCATCATCTTCATGTGAAATTGATTAGCATAAGTGACTTATTAGGGTAAAGTTATAAAGATCTAAGTGATTTTTGAGATGATTGGTGGCAGATTACAATTGAATTAAAGATAAGAAGTAGAATTTTCCAAAACGTTGGGGAGTGGAGGGTATATTTTATTCATCAACTGTGTCCTTTCTTCTTTTTTTCAAATTTCACAGTCTTTAAACAGTGTAAGCCCTCACATCTTTATATTAACTGTTTTATTTATGTTTTGTTTTTCTAACATGTAGATATTTAAACAGAAAAATTAATTTTCACTGTTATATTAATCTTTTGGTTGCGGGTTTTAGAGAAAACTGTATGTGTATTTATTTTAGGATTGTTTATAATCAAATGCATAGATCTGTAGGTCACTGACTATCTGATGTTTAATCATAATACAACATTTGGCAGTGAAAAGAAACAATGTAAAACAAGTACACATACACGCACTGACCCTGAATTTCCCCTATCAGGGTTAATCACACCTCTCTTAATGGTTTCTTTCTAGGTTCATTCAGAAATGGTAATAATGAATGCCTGCATGCATATGGTGTTCCACATACATTTTTTTTACTTTTTATTTCATTTTGGTGTCCCCCGTGCACATTAATTCAGTATTTATCATACCATTCATTCCATTTGTATTGTGTTGATCAATGTCCACTGTATGTGTCACATCATCTTTCATAATAACTATTTCTGAATATTGTTTTTAATGTGCAGTATGTGTCTCCTGTTCTACTCAATACATGATATGAATTCTTATCAACAAATTCCTGGAAATTTTGATAGAAAGTGTTTTTAATTAAAAGGCAAACAAGTCCTCATAAACCATTTCATCTCTCTTATAAAGGATATGGAATGGATCTGTTCCTATCTCAGGCTACATTATGGTCCTTAAGGTCAAGATCTAGTAACTTTAGACTAATTTTTTGTGCTAGATCCATTATGATGTCAAAACCAATTTCAGCTTTCTTTTTCCCCTACTTTAAGGCTTTAGCAAAATTGTGTAGAAAATAAGGTAACTTCATGCATTCAATTTGAAATCCTATGAAAAGTAATTCAGATACCTATATTAAATTTGATATACAGTATTTTAAAGAAAAGGTCAAGGACATACAAATTACTGTTTTCTGAGAGACTGTAGGCAATATGGATACATTCATGGCTGGTTTTCTTAATATTTCATTGAAAATGACAGTTTAAAATATGTTTTTTTCATCTTGTTTACTTACTTACTTATCCTCTCCGTGCCCCTGAGGACGCATGAGGCCGTTCAACAATGAACGCCATTTACGGTGGTCACTGGCAACAACTTGCCCCTCCTTCCAACTGTTCCAGCCCAGTTCTTCCCTTTCTCTCTCAACAGAGCATCGCCAGGTGTTCTTTGGCCGTCCTGTACATCTCTGTGAGAGCTGTTCTAACGTGTGAGTTCTCTTCCCTTCGGAGGATGTGGCCTATCCATCTCCATCTTTTTCTTTTGATAGTGCTTGATAGAGGTATGGATCTTGTTCTTTCATATAGTTGCTGGTTAGTTATTTTTTTAGGCCAGTGTATTTTAAGGATCCTCCTAAGGCATTTTCGGTGGAATGTATCAAGCCTTTCATCATCTTTTTCTGTTGTTCTCCATAGTTCAGTGCAATACAGCAACACAGATAGAATGTTCGTGTTGAAGATCTTAAGTTTGGTCTTTGTGCTGTATTGTGCTGACTTCCATACCTTGGCAAGGGATGCAAAGGCGGTCCTGGCTAAGCCTAGCCTTCTCCCAATGTCTGCCTCGGTTCCCCCAGTCTTGTCCATTGTGGCACCTAAGTAGAGAAATGTTCCAACCTCTTCTGTTTCTTTATCATTCAACCTGATGGCATCCTTCTTCTTCACATTTATTCTCATGCTTTTTGTTTTATTGACGTTAATTTTTAGTCCTGTATATCCTGCAACAGCATGTAATCTCCTGATCTTCTCCTGCATGTCGCTGTGCTTGCTGGAAGTAAGTGCAAGGTCGTCTGCATAATCCAGGTCTTGTTTACCTACAAATTATGCCCCAAAACAGCTTATTTGACCAAGTTAGATTTTAAAAGCATCATTAAATGAACTTATTTTTCAAATTTGATAAATCTGTAGGCATCTTTCATTTTACTAGATCTTGACCTTAAGCCTAACAACTTATCTTCAAAAGAAAGAATTCTTCATCTTAGAAAAATAAATCAAGGGTACAGAGTTTTAAATTTAAAGTATAAACAATTGATTAAATATTAATCCATATATCAAACCTCTTGAACTTGAAAGGACCCAGAAAAAAAAAAAAAACTTCCAAGGTTTGAACTTAAAAATCATTTAATTTGACATATTCATGGTACTGTAATCCAACTGTTATTCAAGACGACTTTATTTCGCGATTTACCAGGGGTAAACTATTTGGCAATGATTAATTTTCGCGATCAGACGTTTTTCGATCTTTTGTATATAGACAGAGAGGCCTTAAGTACCGGTTCGCTGCGAGAAATATTCACGATGATGAGGCTGACGCGAACTTTGTGAAAATTTCTCGCACACTAATAAAAGTTGGTTTACAGTATTCCCAACCTTCAGCATGATATGTGTGCAAGTAATGTATTCCAACTGTATTTATGAAATTTGATAGATATAGACAATTGGCTCAACCTACATGAATCCTGCCTATCCATAGCATTGCCTGTATTTATAATCACAATGTGGCTTTCTCATTATTGTCATATCACTGACAGTCAAGTTTATCAGGAAGTGTTGTTTACATGTACAGTATATATGTTACAAAAGTAGCGATTATTTTTTTTCTTTTGAACATTTTTAATAGAGTCTGTCAGTGACTATATGTAGATTTTAGTGCAGATATAATTCACACTTCTATACCTTTCGTTTTGAATCGTTAAATATTTTTCATAATTATTGGGCAGATCTACATTTCTTGGTCATCTTCTGTAGATATAAGAAGAGACAAAAAAGCACAAAACATGAGTCCACTAGTCTAAGATTAAATTCACGTACAGTGCCGTTTTCTGTTCACTTAGAACATCGCTTTTATTGTTACAGTTAAACCCCCTTCCCCAACAAATGCACGTTAAATCTGATCCACCCTTTGTAAGCCGTTGATGTATGTGTATAAAGCTATGAATCACTCTCTATAATAATATTAGTAATAGGTACTATTTGCTTTCATTTTTTGATTTCTAATAAACACTTTATTTTAGAGCTTCAAAATTTATAATAATGCAAAACATTTTTGAATTTAAACTTGATGAATCAATTTTTTTATTTTATAATAATTTAAAATTTTTAGATTCTGCATTTTTTCATATATAAATTATTTGTTTACCTTAAAAAAGAATGAAATCTACACTCAAAATGATTTTTTTTTTTCATTTCTGGTACTTATATGTGTAACCATGCATTATCTATAAATATTGACCCTGTATATTGCAGCTTATCATGAAGATCCCTAACATCGTAGTGAAGTTAGAGGGCGGGGTTGGTAAGAGAACTGTACCCCTACTGATTGCTGAGATGTCATTTGATGCCCAGGTCAAAGACTGGAGTTCAAAGGTGAGGGGTCATTTTAATGTTATATGATTTTCATGATTAAGGTATGTACCCCCTGTTTATTTAACTTATTCTTTAAACATAATGACTATTATACAGTGGGTCCCGTTTAAACGGATAGTCAGGTTGTCAGAATAGTTTTATCCATATAGCCGAATATTGGAATAGCCGATTGCAATATTTGCCCAACAAACGGCAGATCTACAGTACATAAGTAACAAATTCAACATGGTTGTATTACGTACCTGTACTTTCGTTTTCGTTTGATGAATGTACCAAGTCAGGAAATGAATTATTTCAGGTTTTAATAACAAGTTCAATATGATTTTGTATGAATAATTTGTTTTTAATTGAAGTATGAAACTTATTTTCATCTTTATTTAGCACCAGGCACCTTTTTAAGATACATTCACCCCATTCGTTGATGGCCTCCATGTTAAAAAAAAATTAAGTTGATTGAATACATGACTATATTACGTAAACCATTTTTTTTCCGGATTGCTGATTAATAAATTTAAAAAAATGTTTATTGTTTCATCTTTATCTGTATTTGTATGTCATTTTCAAGCACATAATAGATATATAGGTATATTTATATGGGGTGCATGTGATTTTATTGCAAATCTCGCCTGCAAGTATTACACTGCGGTTGAAATAGCGTTGCCTTGAGTGATGACACTGTTGGATTTGACAATTGAACAATTTGAATCACGGATTGCATTCTATAAAACAAGCGCTTTAATTGGTTGATATGGACCCGCCCACTCTCATGCAGTATCCTTTGCCTTTGTATTGTAAGTTGGAAAGCGTCCAACGGCCTTGTGATGGTCAAAAACTGATGGTGACTTTTTGAACAAAAAAAAAACAAAAAAAAAGACTTACTATGAAATCACTTTATAGCATGTGATATATTCCTATCGCAGACTGTACATGTATATCGTTTGATAACAAACACTAATTTCATTTTTTCCTACATGTAATTCTGCCGATTTTCTATTCACGGCATTTTCAATTTTCGGTGGTGCAAATTGAAAAAGCGTTCGTGCGTAGAAAGCATATCCAGCTAATATCGGAGCACCCGTTGAAAAAATATAAATTCATGTGTGGTAAAACATCGGATTTAATTAAAAGTTTACTGTTTTGTTGTCACGAGTTTCAAAAATACCATGTTTCAAATTTGTGCATACCTATTTTAATTGTCGTCATGGCAATATTTAAACAACCTTTTACGTTAAAATTGCACTGTGAACACATATCCAACTAAATGACCAAGCGCTACCATTTAATAGACAGTCTAATTCTGATAATTTAATTTAATACCCAAGCGAAGTGTCATACTCAAACTGAAAAGTTCACAATTAAAATTTCACGCCGAAAAAATTGAACACAAGCCAATTATCAATGATCAAAATTAACACCCAAGCCATTCATCACTATTGTTATCAAAACATATGTATGTGCCCATGATAACACAGGTAAGAAAAAGCTGGCATGCTTAAAAGATATCCCCTCATTGTTGTAATTTGATAAGTGTATATAAATATGTGTAAAAAAGGATTTTCAACAACATTGACATGTGAACAAAAATTATACTGAAAATCACTATTATAATGAAATTTTTGTGTCAGATTAATTGTTTATCAAACTTTTTTTTCATTTCTTACATAGTAGAAATTATTAATAAATATTTAAAATTTCTTGTGCTCATTATATTTCCAGTTTTGGCATAAGTCATAATTTTGTTTAATTTCTCTTTAAACTTTGTTTTCAATATAAAATTTTGTATTTAAAATACATACAATTTTGCTAACCTTGCATGGAAAATATTTGCAAATAATGAAATAATGTTTATTTTCAAAGTGAGGTTCTCTCTCTTAGAGGAGAGTTAATAACTTCACAACCTTTCAACAGTAAATTATATGACATGTATTCACAGTGATGAATTAATTATTTGACAATTTTAAGATCTGTTTCTTCTGCAACATCTTTGGCATGACATCGATAGCAGCCCAGCTGTTTCTGCTCTTGTTGTGTATAACTTTTCGATGGACTTTTTCATACTCTTGAAGTGTAAAATGTGGGTGTGTTTTGCACATATAAAGAAAAATTAGCCACCATTTGGTTTGACAGTACTTTCATTTGTGGAGGTTATTTATAATGTTTAAGATGTGTTGTAAATTATAAAAACAGTCATTTGTTCGAGAAAATTTCGGAGTAAGAGTCCAGTTTTGAGTCAGACACATTATTTTAATTTTTGTAAATAAGGAAAAATAGGGTCGGCGGAATCGTAAACCAAGAGAAAAAAAAACTTTGGCCTTTTAATAGTTTCCATTCATTTTCTTCACAACCATTGGACATACTGAAATGAAATTTGGTATACAGATATATCAGATGAATATATAGATCAACTTCTGTTTTGGGTACGATCGCACCATTTTTGACAGAGTTATGCCCCTTGGACTTGGAAAAATTCCAATTATTTGCAGTTTCCGTTCATTTTCTTTGGAGAGGTTGCACATACTTAAATGAAATTTAGTATACAGATATATCAAATAAATATCTAGGTCAATTTTGTTTTGGGTTTGGTCACACCGATTTTGACAGAGTTATGCCCCTTGGACTTAGAAAAATTCCCATTATTTGCAGTTTCCATTCATTTTCTTCACAGAGGTTGCACATACTGAAATGAAATTTAGTATACAGATTTATCAGATGAATATCTAGGTCAAGTTCTGTTTTGGGTATGATTGCGCCATTTTTGAGAGAGTTATGCCCTTTTGGACTTTGAAAAAAATCCATTTTGGGGGAGGGGGCATAAGTGTTTTACAAACATCTCTTGTTTTAGCTTGAGATGGAGAATATTTCCATGATGTTAGAGGTAGTCTTCAACAATGAGGAGTTTTTTGATAGCTCTCAGTATTCTCAGTTCTTTGATTATTATTTTAGCTTGAGGTGGAGAGTAACATGAGGTTAGAAGTATCCTCTGTCTGTTAGCTATCAGTACTTTTAGTTCTTTGATTATTATTCACTAGCTTGAAGTCGAGAGTAACATGAAGTTAGAGGTAGCCTTCCATGAGAAGCTTTATGATACCTCTCAGTACTCTCAGTTCTTTGATTATTATTTTAGCTTGAGGTGGAAAGTAACATGAAGTTAGAGGTAGCCTTCTACAATGAGAAGTTGTCTGTCTGGGAATCCCTTGTAGAACCTGTGACAGAGAATGGGAAACTGAAGAAATGGGACCTTGGTTTACAGGTAAGGGAATACTGTAACAGAGAACGAGAAACTGAATTGATAGGACATTGGTCTATAGGTTAGGTGAAATTGAACCAAATGAATAAAGATATGTGACATTGTAGAAATGGGAAACTGAAGATAATTAGATAGTTTGCATCAGAGTTGTGTAAATTTAAGTGAATGAGATTTGATTTGATTGGTTCATAAATGATACAGATTATTTGATTGGCAGATTTTGGTTCATTAGAACTGATACATAAAATTTGACTGGCTGTTTCTGGTTCATTAGAAATGGAACAAAAATTTGATTGGCTGTTTGTGGTTCATTAGCAATGATACATTACATCTGATTGGCTGTTTGTAGGTGCTGAAGAATGATGAACTTGTTCCTGAGGAGGAAGATGAGGATGAGGAATCTAAGAACATTGTGTTACCTCCTCCCAAGATGTCTATCAACATCAAGTCTAACGATCCAATGGAAGTCACCGTAACAAAAACCTGTCTGGAGGTCCTCAATAATTTAGCTAAGGTCTGGATTTATATATGTTAACAGCAAACATGTTTAACAAAATACCGTTTTTCCAACTTTCTAATAGAAAGCTGGAAAAAAAGTATTGTATTGTGTTAATGTAACTGTCCATTTTTTGGGGAAAAACTGACCATTCTTAAAAAAGAATGGACAAATTTCCAAAAAGAATGTATACTTACAGGTAAATTAATGGATTGTTTGGGGAGTTGACTTAACATTAAGCTATAGAGTGGACAAAAGGTTTACAGTGGAGCCTCATTTATTCGGATGCTTTGGTTCCTAGTCAATTTGTCTGGATATGTGAAGCATCCGGATATCTGAATTACCAGTTAAACAAGACAAAATAACTTTTTTAAAAATCCGTTCCGATGAAAAATCTGGTGGATACTGAAGCGTCTGGATATCTGAAGGTCCAATGTACATCACAATCACAGTTTAACACTAAAGCTCTTCAAGTTAACTTAAAGACATCATAATTACGGTAGATGTGAACAAAGTTAACATATGAGAACAAAATTCAGCCAAATTATAGTACCGTGTAATTATTATTATTGGGGGGGGGGGGCAATAACAAGAATAAATTAATATATTGTAAAATTTTCTTGGGGTCAGATTTTTGTTGTTCGAGGAAAAAAAACTCTTGGTTCTTGGGGATTTGATTTCGTGGATGAATAATAGTTTAGTATTGGTGGACATAAATTTGTGGGTCTCTACATTCCCCTAAAACAATCAAAATTAACCCCGGCCCACAAAAATTTGTGATTTCGCAGGAAATGAAGGTGTGCTGAGCCATTGATAACAAATGTACAGTCAGTAGGTAAACTGAGTTGAAATTACTTAAAATGTATACAGTCAAATTCAGTTCTGTCTCTACTTGTATCTGTTGATTATCCTGTAGGCTTTTGGAGATGCATACAAACTGGTGACTCCAGCAGAAGAGGCAGGAAAAGTTCTCTCCCCTTACGTCATAAACAACCACACAGGGATTACTGTCACTCTGAAACTGGACAAGGATTTTGAGGTTAGTCTTAAAAAAAACCTCTATAATCCAAAATTTGAATTTTAGGTAAATTTTGGGGTTATTTCTTGATTTTTTTTTTAATAACTAATTGGCAGAATTAAAATATTCTGATTTACAGCCAAAAACAAATGTTACATACTTGTAAGTTGCAAGGATGTTTTAAAAAAAAAATTGACCATTGATAATTTTTATTATGTATACCTGTTTGTAATGAGCAGTTTTGCCTTATTATGATTTTTTTTTTAATTTAAAAAGCCTTAGTCCTGGTGAATATTTTCGCCTGATGAACCTGTTGTTGATTTTTTTTTTTAAACAGATGCCGGAGGAAGCTAAGAATGATAAACTAATGCTGGAGTCAGGGAATTCCCTCCCACTATACGGCAGGAAGAAGGCGGTCCTCAAACGCCAGGCCTCCGTCATCAAGGCCACGCAGGAAGGCGACGAGAAAAAGTTCATATTCCAGGTCAATATAAATATTTATCAACCTTGTGTTTTCATGCATTTAATGTGTTTAATAATGAAAATACCAAAAGATTAGTGTAGGTGTAAAGATACTCTCAAAAGTATTGAATCATCTTGATATATTTTTTTTTTCCATTCTGGAGATAAGAATTTTTTGAGTTTACTTTAATATTTTAAATTTTATCTGTTCCTCAAATGAGATGCTCAATGTAAATTAATTATATTTTAAAATTGAATTTTTTTTTAACTTTAATAATTTTATTTTTCAATACATGTCAACATTTTTAATTAATAATTGCTATAGATTGAAAAATTCAATGCTACAAGAGAGGTAACTATCAAGCGAACAGAGAATCGTTACTATCCAGTCAACCATAAGACTTACCCTGGGGACGTGTGGGCTGTGGTCTGTAGTACCGAGGCTCCCATTGGTCAGAAAATCATCAATCTACGCTCCATCGTACAGGTAAGGTCCTTATCATGACTTCTTTGACACAAATATGACTATTAGGTGAAATTGGTCTTTTACATGTGTGTGTGTATTTTCATGAAATTTTAATTTGATACCAAAATAGGTCTCGTTTTTATAACTGGTTTGCATATGATAAGCAAATTTCAAATTACATGTATTATAAAATATTTCTCAATGATGTATTTTTTTTTTATATTTTGAAGGATTTTTCTTCTAATGATTATTATTTGAGCCAAAAAAAAAACCATTTAATTTGACCAAAATTTAAAATAATAAAGATTTCGTCAATATGAACAAGATAGATACCACATTCATTGTAGATTAATGACTTTTGTCAAAAAAATTATAATTTATAAATTTATTTTTGATTACCAGATGAAGAACAATTTGCCTCACGCTGTGGAGATATTTTCCCGTGCTGAGAAGACTGAGACATCGTGTGGTACAGTACAGCCGGGGGATGTGTTTAACGTCCCTCTCCCCGCAGTATACACGCCCGACGGACAGTTCCTACTCAAACCAATTGTCAAAGAGTGAGTCTTTTGTCTGAGTGGTTTATATCATAAAAGTGGAGTTTTTAGTGAGACTGAAACTTTGCAATATTTAATTATCAAAAATATTGGACTTGTATAATATACATGTTTTTAGTGCGAAATAATCTTAGCAATGACGTCAAAAAATATTTTTTTTTTAAATTGAGAGGAAAAAAATTGTTAGAGATGTTTAATTTTAAACAGAACTCTCGCTAATAATGCCAATTTATATCCTTGATAAAAGTTTTGTTTTTACAGTACTCAATTCACAAATTGCGTTATTGAGCATAATAAAGTGATAATTGAAAAAAAAGGGGTTTAAAATTAAATTCAAATTTAAAAATTGATGTTGACTTGGTATTAAATCTTTACAGTTGTGATACATCTAAAGTCCCGATATCATGGAGGACAGCTGAGGCCAATCCTAAGGTTTATGTACCCTGTCCTTTCAAAAATGGATCAGACTACATTATCAGTGTATGTATAGTGTTAAAGAGTTGCCCCCCTTATTTAAATAGTTTAATCTTTGAGAAGAATACAAGATACCTCACAATATATACAAATCAATTTCTATTTGAAATAAGACATCAAGATTCAAGTTGAATCTATTAAATCTGAATCTTATATACTGATCTCTTTATTTATTATGATGTAAATTTAAGCTGTTTAACATTTACCATGTAATCAACAAATAAGCTACTTTCAAAGACCCTTTTATACATTTCATTTTAATTTGTTTATGCATTACATAGTTACCTATCTGTACATTATGTTACCTATTTTATTTTTTACTTTACACAGGTGAGGTCGGAGGTAATTAACGTTTACTATGATGAGACTAACGAGCTGTCGGCTAAGACGTACTTGTTTCACCTGTCTCCTAGCATTGTGTTCCACAACCTCCTCAACATACCTGTCACCTTCCTTCTGGAGGTAAGACCCGAAATTGATTATCACATTAAAAAAAAAATGAAGAGGAGGGATTTTTTTTTTTTTTTTTATTACCAAAAATAGTTTTTATTAAAGTGTAGATAAGAAATGCATTTGGGAATTTTGTTATTGCAATTTGAAAATCTGTGATTAAATCTAATTTAAACATGATTTTTTTTAATTTCAAATTTTTGTCAATCTTATTGTTAGGCTTCATATAATTTAGATATTCTTGATGTTTTAAAAGTTATGGATTGCTAACTTTGAGTTTACTGACATTTCTTACATAAAGTTACATTAATAACATTAAAAATACGTTGATAACATTTACTATAGAATATATATTGAGTTACATTAAGTTACATTGCTTGAGTTACTTTGATTTCATTGAGAAACATTGTAAGATACATTGAGTTACATTGATGACATTAAGTTACGATCACTTGATAACATTGAGATAACTGATTACATTGAGTTACATTGAGATGCATTTATTACATTGCATTACATTGATCACATTGATTACAGGGGATGGAATCAGAGGTTTCTCTTGGCAGGGGAGAGAGCAAACCTTTGCTTCATGCCATGCCAGGAAAATCCCACATAGAGGTCAGGGTATGTATCAAAAGAGGGAAAAATCCCACATAGAATTCAGGGGGGGGAACTGTCAATTTAAATACTGTATACAGGGTTATTTTCGCCCCGTGTTATTTTCGCCCTTCCACATTCGGAAACAAGTTTGCCCCGTTTTAAATTCGCCCAGAAAGATTTTTGCTTAAGACATTAAATTGTTTACTTTAGATTCGCCCCGTTATAAATTCGCCCACTTCCTACGAGGGCGAAAGGGGCGAAAATAAAACGGGAGCGAAATTTTCCCTGTATACAGTACAATTAATAATTTTCAGTATTGTAACAAATATTTTTCATTAACAATGTCTTTTGTGAGTCAATATACATTTCTATATAGCAGTTGTTAAATAGAAATATGCACTATGACACTTCTGATTCAGTTTTCTTTTTCCTAGAATAAAAGTAATATGCTTCTCAATCTGAACTTGATAGACATCTCCTTTAACTTCCACATTTTAAACTTTTAAACTGTTTCTACAGATACCCCTTTATCAGGACTTGGAGTGGCATGGGACACAACTCCTGTCTACCGAGTTTCCCGAGCTCTCCATGTGGACGTTTAATGCTGTTTTCAAAGGTCCCCAGATGATTTCATTGGTGAGTTGTGACATGCATATCAGCGGTCATAAGTTTTCATAATAGTAACAGTTACAATAAATTTATTTAGTCTTGAGCTTCTCCCAATGTTGAAAATTGTGCATATGTTTGCACATGGATTATTTTTTTTTTCTTTTCAAGAACATATTTTTAGGCTGCTTTGTAAAAATGCTCAAAAATGTCTGTGTGTTGGCCATAAATATGGTATTTTATTTTTAAAAAATAATTTTGAGAGATTTTTGGGCTCCTCTGTACAGAAAATGAAGTAAGTCCAGACATGGATCTGAAAAGTCCTTATATCTCATCTATTTTATATTAAGTAAATTTTGTTTTTATTGACAGATTTTAGGACTCCACTGTAAAGAGAATGAAGGATCTCTAGACATGTCTGTATACAGTCCTTATTGGATGATTAACAAAACAGGAAGGACTCTCATGTACAAGGTAGGGAATTTAGAACTACTCTGTATTAGTCTGAAAATAAGGAATTTATTTTGAACTACTCTGTATTAGTATGAAAATACGGAATTCATTTTGAACCACTCTGTATTAGTCTGAAAATAGGGAAATTTTTTTTGGACTACTATGTAGTATTTTGAAAACAAGAAATTTATTTTGAACTACTTTGTAGTATTCTGAAAATAGGGATTTTCTTTTGGGATATCCTGTAGTATTGTGAATTTGGGCTATTCTATAGTTCAAGGTACTGATTTTGGACAAGTCTGTAGTAGAATGTACTTTTTTGAATACAAAAGATGACAATTTCGAAAAACAAAGGCTGAGCCTAAGCTAAAAGTGAGTTTAAAAATTACGTTTTATTTTTTCAGGGGAGTGATTCTGATGAAGTTATTGAACATTCATCAGAGAAACAAGAAGTGGCTTTTTTCTCCTTCAGACCGAAAACCTGCCTCGAGGGAAAGAAAAAGGTAACTTATTTTTTGTTTAAAAAATGTTAATTACTTATGATAGCTCATTCATGTAGACAAAAATATTAATCCTGCTCCAATCTTTGATAAGAATAAGTCATAGGGCTGTTTCTATTGTCAGTTGATAGAATAAACAAACTTTTAATGAAATGACAGGGAGGGATGCTTTGTTATAAGGGTAATTCCTTATATTTGTTAAGTTTATGATATATTTAGAAGTCACGGGGTTAAAAATCACTTTGTTGTACATTTGTCAGAAACATTTTCAGTATAAATCCTGTTAAAATCTGTAGTAGGAAAAGGATTGTAGGAACGAATGAGATCATTTGTATATAATTATGCCTACAACAATCATTTATGACTTCTAGATTTACAATTGTTTTTATTTTAGAAAGACATGTCCTCCTTGGTATATGTTCAGTTAAACCACTTTTGAAAACTCCATTGATTAATTATGATTTATTATTATTTCCTACAGGATTTGTTTGTTCATTTTGTTCTTTTGCCATCCTTTTTAAACCAAAAATGATGGAAATTAAAATTTTGTTTTTTCTCATTTTATTTATTCCTGTCCTTTATACATGTTTGGGTAGCACTTTTCAGTCTTTTGATCACATATGCAGTAAAAACACAGTTGGTAAAAAAGGCAAAGGACAAAATATGCTTCTTGTACACAGCTTCTTGCTAAATAAATGGTTTTTACTTGACCGTCATGAAAATAAAATCATAACTGTGTTTGTAAACAAAGGATGTTAAACCAGAGAAAGAAGGGAAGGCCAAGAAAATTAAAGAATGGCGACAAGTCGGTAAAGTAAGTGGCCTAATAGATGTGATTCACTGCTGTGTGAAGTAGAGTTACTGCCCCTTTTTTCTTTGTGATTAGGAGTTAGCTCCCCTTTCTGTCAAGTTGTATGTAGCACATTTACAAGCTTTTATAATGAAATGGTTATGATTCTAAGTTAATGCCATTGGGAGACAGTGCTTTCCCTTGCATTTCAATTCGCTTCATAGGCTGCCATGTTAGTCATGTGATCAATTGCTATTGGTTTTCATTTTATTTTACAAATAGCCATAGTTTATACTAGCTTTTAGAATAACACAATGTTAGAAAATTTTCCATAATTTAAGTTATCCTAAGGCTTATTTTTAAGTTGTATTTGATATGATGTCTTTATTTGTTGTTTGCTTTCTTCCCAACTTTTGAATTTATTTGATTAATAATGATGATGAAAACGTGTCAATTTACAGATCTGAATCATTTCACCTTCTTGAAACATTTTAAATTAACGCAAGTTCAACTTTAAGGATTTCAAGAACAAAACCAAAATTTAGCCATTATTATAAATTTTACTTGTTCAGCAGTATTGTGGGAATACCGTATAACGGGTGATTTTTACTGCTGTAAATTTTTACGAATTTCTGTTGAAATAGGGTGATTTTATTTTTTACGCCTTAAATTTTTACGAATTGAGCCTCTCCGTAAAAATTAAAATCATCAGAGGTGAAGTTCCAGATCAATGTTTAAGCATTTTGAACGCGTTAACATACAGATACGTGTTTTAAATGTCTGGACAATCCGATGTAAAATAAAAACGTGTTCCCGTGATAACAAGTGTCGATTCCTTATGTGATATGTTTTTTCATTTAAATACCTTTATATATCACATGCCCTGAATTTATTCCTTTGTCAATTAACATGTTCATGCATCATTATTGTTGCGCACCACGTGCCCGTCTTCATTTTAATGAAAACAAAGAGAGACAACTCAAGCCATCATGATTAAGTTGACAGAATTACAGGGGACACGGATTACGATGCATTAAAATGTCGAAGTTTTTACTGGAAGCAAATAAAAAGAAAAAAGGGTCAAAGTCTTGAAAAATGGATATATCGTTATGAATATGCATTGGTATGTATTTTCGTTCTCTTGCTCCGTGATTTATTTTCTTCGGGAGATCGGCATGTGCACATGTACTCCAGCATGCTAGAGGTTCACGGCGAGATACTTTTGACTTGGCGTCCGAGGTATATAAGGAGCGAAGGGACGTTAACCGAGGCTCTTACTTGTAGGAGTAGTGCACATGGTGTAGGGACCCGGGTCTAGTCTTCATTCATGGATACTTGGAATGAAGTACTTAGGATTTAAGCGCATCGTGACAGTAAATAACACTTCTACCGTGTTAATTACCGTTTATTACGTACATTGCGTGGACTGATTAACAATACAGACCGAATACACATTGAATATGGATTTACTACAGGATTTTTAACTAACTGAACTGGCGCATGCCCAAAGGGGTTAGTCGACACCCGGCGGCGACTAACCCCTTTGGGCATGCGCCAACTAACCCAGTAAAAATTCATCTAACCCCTGCCAGTACATGCAACCTTGTTAACACCAAAAAATAAACAAACACAACAATAAATAAACAAACAAATACCAAGCAAATAAACAAAAAAGAAGAAATAATTAACAGAAAATAGAATAACTTATTTAATGAGTTTATAAACAAAATCTTTACCCAAATACTCACAAAATATGCAGAGATCTAACGTCTAAGGCAACATTTTTTTCTACTGAGCTACAAATACATATAAGGAGACTTAGTAGCTCATTTTTTTTTAATTCTTTAAATTCCGAATGAAATAATTATTCCGAGTTGAAATAATACCCTGTTATAATATGTTCAAAATTAAGGCGAGGCATTTTTTTTACTTCTGTGAAATTTTACGTGTTTAAATTTTACGGGTTTATAAAACTCGTAAAAATTAGTAAAAATTAGCAGCACTTAAAAAATACCCGTTATACGGTATTAAGAGAATTAACTGTTTACTCTCTAAATAGCCAATATAATTAATTTGTTACATGTAATAAATGCTTTTCACACCATGCAGTTTTATATTCACTATTTTGCTTTTCTCTTAATAATTTCTTTTTAGTTTTGCATTCCATGTCTTGCTTAGAATTAAGTAGAATGGAAAAAAAATGACTTCATACCTACATGTAGAAGAAAAAAAGTTCCAGTTTTGCCTTGTTGAAAGCTAAAATTTTGACAATTTACTGTTACATCTATAAAGTATGGTCATTATTAACAATATTTGTGCAGATTGTTAAGAATAAAAAATACTGAATTGTTTTGAAGTGACCACTGTAGTAAGTTAATCAAGTAATAATTTTTATGACAAAAGAAATAATGTATTGATGTATGTAAATGAAGGTTTCTTTTTTACCTTTGTATGGTTAGGCCTCACTTAAGACTATAGACACGGACTGGTCTGATAAATTCTCTCTGGACACGGTGGGGAGCTCTGGAACGGTCCAATGTAAAACAAAGACCAGGACGTACGAGGTATGGAATATTCATATCTAGCATGAAACTCAAGATCTGATTGGTAATGTTATCTTCCCACTATCAGGATTGGCGCCACAATTGAAATTGGAGACTTGAACGTGGACAAATTGTAATGATCGTATCAAACCAAAAAAAAATTGTGTTCACTCATGGCTATCATGTTGATTGTGAAATTTTTTTGACTGTCAAAAATTTTTCTATGATTAACACGATTAGATTTTAATCGTTATTGCATCAAATCGCATTACATCGTAACTAACCTCAGCTGCATTATAAGTTATAAGATCCTAGTATCTCCTTCTGAACCTGAACCCGTTCAATCAGAGGCAACATCGGTGGAAAAAAATAAAAAAGATAAGAAAACAGTGATACATGTACTGCTGCTTTTGCTCTACTTTGACAGCAATACCATATGAACATAGTAACACTAGAAATACCACATTCATAATGTATCATCAACCTCAACTTCTGCCATTATTATAATTGATTGTAAGTTTATGTTTTGTTTACTTTTTAATAAATAAAATATAATGGACTTGGTATAGCTAGATTTTTATATTTTTGTTGGGGTACAATCTTAGCTCAGTGCGTATTCTATCTTGATCATGATCCTGAAAGACATTGCAATGAATGTGATAATCTATAGCACATTAGCGCAAGAGTGTGCGATGAATGTATTATTTCAGAAGAGTACGCATTAAAACGTAGAAGATCGTTTCTTATTGAGAACTCGGATCATGATTTCGTGACAGATCGAGGTCTTTTTATCAACTAAATCTTGATTATCCTATTGGAACGTAATTCATCTTATCTGTACGATAGTCAGATCGTCAGAGATCCCATCACATGAAATTTATCCATTATGGCCATAGCGCATAAAAGCATAACAAAACATATGAAAATGCACCTATGTGCATCTCTTCGTATCTTGACATAAAATTCAGTAAAAACTCTGTGATTAACTACGATTGATCAATCATGACATGCGTAACTGACTGCACGACAGTGAGAATGTAGCATAGGCTGATTTGATTGGTACATTATATCCTATCTAACTTGTAACATGTGATCTGATTGGTAAGCAAGAGGGTACGATAGATTTCCATACACTGGTCTTCGGGAAATCTTGCTACTTGGTTATATAATAGATTGAATTAGCTAGAATCAAATGATTTTTTTTTATGAATTTGATGTGTCAGTTAAAGTGAGCCATTTTATTGTAGTTTGGAGTTAAGATTCGCCTGTCAAGCTCTGGGTTGACTAAGATCTGTACGTTTACCCCACTTTACATGCTTCTGAATACCTCAGAGGTGTCACTACTTTGTGCCGAGGTGACAAAAGAGGAGGAGTGGATAGAAGTGCCTCCTAAATCTGTAAGTCAATACAGAATCAAAGATACTGTAAGTCATTTTAATTCCACAGTGTTAAAATTGCACGATTTCCCAAAAAGTACCATTCGCGATAGTTTTAATTTCACGCAACAAGAAATTAATTTAAAGTTTATATAAGCATAAAAACATTTAATAAAACTAATTTTAGTATTCATAATTGGATTTAATTCGTGCAAAACTAATAAATCGCGAATATTGTGAAATTAAAACCATCATGATTATTTGCCAATCTACAATATATGGTGTATCACTTGTAATTTCAAAAAAATTAAAAAAACATTTCCTCTCATCTCACAATCTCTTTAACTTTTGTATTTTAGTGTCTGCCATTTTGGCCAGTGCAGTCTGGGAAGGAAATGACGATGAAGGCTAAAGTTAAAGATTCAGCGTACAGTACGATACCATTCTTATTCAACAAACCTCACACCACCCTGCTGAGAGTGGACGAGGAAGTAGGTTACTTCTGGAAACACCTGTACATATATTTGTTATGCATTGATCAGCATTTGTTGCATTAACTTTTGAAGTATTTCTTAAGCTATAAATATTAAAAACTTGCATGTTTATGATTTATAGAAAGTTTATTTATTGTGTTGATTTTTAAATTCATAGGTAGGGGGGATAAATGCTGAATGTCAGGTGACTGAGGCTGCCACGGTAACGACCTTGACCACATACAAACCTGGCATGGCGACTGTCCTCTTGGTCAACAGTACAGACAGCTGTCCTGTCAAGTTCAACCAATGGTAGGTAGACAAGATCAAGGTCAACCAGTGTTAGTAGTCAAGTTTAACAAATGGTAAGTAGTCAGCATATGCATTGCAAATCAAGTACTCATTTTTTCAGTACATATGAGGGTTGATCCAAAAGTAATGTCACAACTTTGATAAAATTGCTATAAATTGACGTAAAGCAACAAAATTATACATGACGGATGCTTTATTTATTTCAAATCAGACCTGAAAAATTCAAAGAAATATGATGTATACTTTTCAAAATATTGGATTTTAAACAATGTGTGTTTATGGTAGTCACCATACCTAAATATAACGTCATATGACAGATACACACCATCATACTTTTAAGCGTTTCTCCTTTGTTTCATTAAAAAATATTTGTGAATCGCAAACACTTTCACCAATTCCACTTTCTTTAAGAATTCTTGGTACCATTATACACTTACTCTTTTCATAATTAAGCCCTCTGTCAAAATTTTTTGAACAGTAGCATAAGACAAACTTAAAAATTCACATGTCACTCTATACGTCTGTATTTTTTGACAATGTCAGACACCACTGAACATTTCCGTCCGATCTCCTATCTTTCAGTATCATTGTCCTCTGCTAATCATTCAGAGACCAATCACCCTCCCAAAATTGCTGAAACCATCTATTAAGATGTCTCTTATTTACATTCTTTATTCTTTTAGTCTGATTGATTAACGAAAATGTTGCTAGTGATGATTCCCATATTTTGAACACAAATGCGTTAAAACTCGTCGAGCCTTTTTTCCCCATTTCAACAATCCGTTTATTCAATTCAACAGAGTAAAACAACAATGTTTATGATCAGAAATACCAATGCCATCATTTAATTTTCAATCAAAGACTAGGAAATGATGAGAATTGTGTCTTTAAAAAATTTGGGAGATTAGGTGCTTTTTTAGAATCTTTTTTAAAATGTGTTTTACTTTATCTTTTTTATTCTAAGAAAAAATACCCTTTAAAACGTGATGTTCTGTTGTGATGTGGCAACACCCCCTATGCTTTATGTTTTAAACATCTATAAAATAAATTTAAATCAACATTATTAAATTAAAATTTCAATGTTAATTAGATTTATATTTGTGCATCTTTTGGTATTTTGTATTTGATAATATGATTCCAAATACATAAGATATGGACACTGTGACATTACTTTTGGATCAACCCTCGTAACTGTGCTTAGGTGAGTGAAAATTTTAAAAGTAAAAAAAAATAAATTCTGCTGACAGGGGCAAATATTGTCACAACTGATTTTGATTTCTCTTTTCAAAATTTTACTCACTGGCTATAAAGCTAGTTATGAAATGGAGAGAGAGAAAAATAGAGATATGACCTATTTAAAAAAAAAATTATTCAAAAAATTTGGTGAGGAATATTAAAAGGACAGGTTTGTTTTTACTTTTGTATGCACATTTATTTTGTCTATAAGAGTCAAAGGTCAATGAAAGAATTTTTTCCTATTTTTCCAGTGGAGAGAAGTCTGCCCACACCCTGAATCCTAATGAGGCCGTCCTGTACACCTGGGAAAACGCGGTCAAGAAGAGAGAGCTGGAGTGGAGTTCTGGGGAAGTCAAAAACCAGAAAACTAACCTCATACAGGTGAATAAATGTTACATTAACCTCATACAGGTGAATAAATGTTATATTAACCTCATACAGGTAAATAAATGTTATATTAACTTCATACAGGTAAATAATTAGTATATTAACCTCATACATGTTATACTGTAATTGTATTATATTTGGCATGTACGATATTTGGCAGAAATGGAATTTTCAACTATTTACCGTAGATTTGATTTAGCGCAATCTGAATGTGCTAGGTATACCTGTATGATATACAAGGCATTTAGCGATGTACTTGATTTAGCGGACTCTGCTTACCGCCAAAATCGCTAATTAGAATACACCGCTAAATGTAATACATTTACAGTATTCAGTAAGGTAACAAATACCCTCCAGGTAATTTTTTAGGATGACACTGTAGATTTCCTTTTCTTTGCAGGATGGTACCGGGAGTTTCTTTAAGGACTCTGACACTAAGATTTACTGGGTGTCATTTCTGGATGGACTTCAGAGAATCCTGCTGTTTACAGAAGATCTGGCTGTGGTGATCAACGCTCAGGAGGTACAGCCTTAACTCTGTAACAAAACATGACATTGACTCAGTTCAATGGTCAAAAGATATGGCCTTAACTTTTTACATGACATGATATTGACTGTTCAGTGCTCAGGAGGTACGGCTCTAACGCTGTAAGAAAACATGACATTGACCATTCAGTACTCTGTTGTTACATCTTAACTTTGCATAAAAAAACATGACCTTGACTGAAGAATGCTAAGGTATATTTGCTGTTCAGATCCTAGGAGAAACCACCTTAAGTTAACATAGTAAAATTGCATGACCCTCTCTGTTAAATGATCAGGAGGTACTACCTTAATTCTGTAACAAAACATGAATTTGAATGTTCAATATGCAGGATGCATGACCTTAATGTTGTAAAGAGTAGGTGAAGGACTGAAGGTGACAGAAACCAGTGCGACTTGCATTTTTCTGAAAATCAGAAAATCTCACTGCAAATTATCACATGCTAGGAGACTGGTAGATGTTTATATATTTACCTAATGTCAAGGTAGTCTTACAGACAGAGATTATGCAGTAATGAAGTCCTTGTTTATTTATAACTTGTAGGCTGGAGAGCTGGAGAGAATAGAACAAGAGATTAACCTGTCTCTTCAGAGTGTGGGCGTGTCCCTGGTCAACGACATGACGCAGACCGAGGTCGCCTTCCTGGGAATCACAAGGTAATGTCTATACACCTGTACAGGTATACACCCTACAGAGTGTGGGCGTGTCTCTGGTCAACGACATGACACAGACCGAAGTCGCCTTCCTGGGAATCACAAGGTAATGTATACACACCTGTACAGGTATACATCCTACAGAGTGTGGGCGTGTCCCTGGTCAACGACATGACACAGACCAAGGTCGCCTACCTTGGAATCAAAAGGTAATGTCTATACACCTGTACAGGTATACATCCTACAGAGTGTGGGCGTGTCCCTGGTCAACGACCTGACACAGACCAAGGTCGCCTACCTGGGAATCACAAGGTAATGTCTATACACCTGTACAGGTATACACCCTATAGAGTGTGGGCGTGTCCCTAGTCAATGACACGACGCAGACCGAGGTCGCCTTCCTGGGAATCACAAGGTAATGTCTATACACCTGTACAGGTATACATCCTACAGAGTGTGGGCGTGTCTCTGGTCAACGACACAACACAGACTGAGGTCGCCTTCCTGGGAATCACAAGGTAATGTCTATACACCTGTACAGGTATACATCCTACAGAGTGTGGGCGTGTCCCTGGTCAACGACACAACACAGACCGAGGTCGCCTACCTGGGAATCACAAGGTAATGTCTATACACCTGTACAGGTATACATCCTACAGAGTGTGGGCGTGTCCCTGGTCAACGACACGACACAGACCGAGGTCGCCTACCTGGGAATCACAAGGTAATGTCTATACACCTGTACAGGTATACATCCTACAGAGTGTGGGCGTGTCCCTAGTCAATGACACAACACAGACCGAGGTCGCCTTCCTGGGAATCACAAGGTAATGTCTATACACCTGTACAGGTATACATCCTACAGAGTGTGGGCGTGTCCCTAGTCAATGACACAACACAGACCGAGGTCGCCTTCCTGGGAATCACAAGGTAATGTCTATACACCTGTACAGGTATACATCCTACAGAGTGTGGGCGTGTCCCTAGTCAATGACACAACACAGACCGAGGTCGCCTTCCTGAGAATCACAAGGTAATGTCTATACACCTGTACAGGTATACATCCTACAGAGTGTGGGCGTGTCCCTAGTCAATGACACAACACAGACCGAGGTCGCCTTCCTGGGAATCACAAGGTAATGTCTATACACCTGTACAGGTATACATCCTACAGAGTGTGGGCGTGTCCCTAGTCAATGACACAACACAGACCGAGGTCGCCTTCCTGGGAATCACAAGGTAATGTCTATACACCTGTACAGGTATACATCCTACAGAGTGTGGGCGTGTCCCTAGTCAATGACACAACACAGACCGAGGTCGCCTTCCTGGGAATCACAAGGTAATGTCTATACACCTGTACAGGTATACATCCTACAGAGTGTGGGCGTGTCCCTAGTCAATGACACAACACAGACCGAGGTCGCCTTCCTGGGAATCACAAGGTAATGTCTATACACCTGTACAGGTATACATCCTACAGAGTGTGGGCGTGTCCCTAGTCAATGACACAACACAGACCGAGATCGCCTTCCTGGGAATCACAAGGTAATGTCTATACACCTGTACAGGTATACATCCTACAGAGTGTGGGCGTGTCCCTAGTCAATGACACAACACAGACCGAGGTTGCTTTCCTGGGAATCACAAGGTAATGTCTATACACCTGTACAGGTATACATCCTACAGAGTGTGGGCGTGTCCCTAGTCAATGACACAACACAGACCGAGGTCGCCTTTCTGGGAATCACAAGGTAATGTCTATACACCTGTACAGGTATACATCCTACAGAGTGTGGGCGTGTCCCTAGTCAATGACACAACACAGACCGAGGTCGCCTTCCTGGGAATCACAAGGTAATGTCTATACACCTGTACAGGTATACATCCTACAGAGTGTGGGCGTGTCCCTAGTCAATGACACAACACAGACCGAGGTCGCCTTCCTGGGAATCACAAGGTAATGTCTATACACCTGTACAGGTATACATCCTACAGAGTGTGGGCGTGTCCCTAGTCAATGACACAACACAGACCGAGGTCGCCTTCCTGGGAATCACAAGGTAATGTCTATACACCTGTACAGGTATACATCCTACAGAGTGTGGGCGTGTCCCTAGTCAATGACACAACACAGACCGAGGTCGCCTTCCTGGGAATCACAAGGTAATGTCTATACACCTGTACAGGTATACATCCTACAGAGTGTGGGTGTGTCCCTAGTCAATGACACAACACAGACCGAGGTCGCCTTCCTGGGAATCACAAGGTAATGTCTATACACCTGTACAGGTATACATCCTACAGAGTGTGGGCGTGTCCCTGGTCAACGACATGACACAGACCAAGGTCGCCTACCTGGGAATCACAAGGTAATGTCTATACACCTGTACAGATATACATCCTACAGAGTGTGGGCGTGTCCCTGGTCAATGACATGACACAGACCAAGGTCGCCTACCTGGGAATCACAAGGTAATGTCTATACACCTGTACAGGTATACATCCTACAGAGTGTGGGCGTGTCCCTGGTCAACGACATGACACAGACCAAGGTCGCCTTCCTGGGAATCACAAGGTAATGTCTATACACCTGTACAGGTATACATCCTACAGAGTGTGGGCGTGTCCCTGGTCAACGACATGACACAGACAAAGGTCGCCTACCTGGGAATCAAAAGGTAATGTCTATACACCTGTACAGGTAAACACCCTACAGAGTGTGGGCGTGTCCCTGGTCAACAACACAACACAGACAGAAGTCGCCTACCTGGAAATTACAAGGTAATATCTACACACACATACAGGTATACACCCTCCAGAGTGTGGGCGTGTCTCTGGTCCATGACACAACACAGACTGAGGTCGCCTACCTGGGAATAACAAGGTTATGTCTATTCACCTGTACAGGTATACACCCTCCAGAGTGTGGGCGTGTCCCTGGTCAACAACATGACACAGACTGAGTTGGCTTACCTGGGAATCACAAGGTAATGTATATACACCTGTACAGGTGTACACAACTCAGACCAAGGTCGACTACCTGGGAATCACTAGGTAAAACCTAATATGCACCTTAACTCTACAGCTATACATTCTTACCTGGGAATCACAAGATTATACCTATACACCTTTACACTTACAACTGGAAATCATAATGTAATGTGTATGCCCCTGTACAGGTCTACAACTACACAGCTGTACATTCCCAGCAGGGGAATCAGAAAGTAATACTTACACACCTATTCACTTACATACACACTTGTAGATTGAAAGGTAAAACCTGTACACCCTGAGATCAAGAGATTTCAAATTTACATTGTTTTATCTTGTCATTATGAATGAAAGGAAACTTTCACCAAATTTATGTGAAATTTATACACCAGTTTGTCACAAGTTGAAAGAGAGCTACTGTAGATTCCTAATTATATGCGAGGAACTAATTTTCACGTAATTTAAATTTGTGAGAAGTGTTACTCGCGAAAAAATATAACTCATATTTTATCCTGCTGAAGTCTATATAATTCTGTTGATCAACCGTCCATTCGCGAATTATAATTCTCATTAAAGACCCAGTTTGGGATAAGAAGAATGCACGAAAAATAAGGAATCTACAATATTATGATAAATTTGGCAAAGATAAGGGAAGACAAAACAAATTAAATCTTTTCTTAATGAATTATTATTTCTCCTTTGAAGAAGATTCATTTAGGTACATAATCATCAAAAACTATTTTTAGCTCTGGAGTAATTTGGGAAGAGAAAAAGAAACGTTACAAAGCTCTCAATCTGAAACTGACTACAGCACTGGAGACAGCGTACCAGAAATACGTCACAGATCTAGAGCTTGGGCACAGACCGCCAGAGAAGCTGGCCATAGACAACAAAACAGAGGTGGGATATTCTGTACTTGTATCTCTTCTGAATGGAGTACATTTTGTATAAATATGAACAGAAGTTGTGGTAAAATATCATTTAATATAATACTGGATAATCTGATAGATCTGATATTATGATATAAAACATATTCGATTTTAAATGTGTATAAGTCTTTAAAGGTAAAAATGGACTGGGGAAGAGTGATGACCATAAATTCTTTTGAATGTATTTTGTCTGTTCTTATGTTGTATTTCAAAGATTTTTATAATTGGCCATTTGTTAGGTTAACTTCCAAGAAATGAGGATGATAAAACCACAGAACAGAGGGATCCGAAGAAGTTTCCAAGACGGGGTGTGGATCCAATACAAAACCTCCCCACATCAACTTCAGATCCATGCCAAAATCAACAGACTTCAGGTATGTATTGTAACTAAAGACGAAGTTTTCACATATTCCAGGTATGTTGTTCTTTAAGTTTTTCTTGATTTAATTTTCCACAGCCGACAGTCTAGTATAGTTACTATTTTATTACAGTTGAATAACCAGGCCAGTGGATATGTGATGTAGTTTATTACAGTGACTATTCTATGTACTCTTTTATTACAGTTGGATAACCAGACCAGTGGATATGTGTTCCCTACTGTCCTGGCTCCTATTCCTCCCCCAAAATCTGTGGCCTCAGACAGCGGTAAGTATAGGCTAACCAGCCTCAGACAGTGGTAAGTACAGGCTATCCAGCCTCAGACAGCGGTAAGTACAGGCTATCCAGCCTCAAACAGTGGTAAGTACAGGCTAACCAGCCTCAGACAGCGGTAAGTACAGGCTAACCAGCCTCAGACAGTGGTAAGTACAGGCTAACCAGCCTCAGACAGCGGTAAGTACAGGCTAACCAGCCTCAGACAGCGGTAAGTACAGGCTAACCAGCCTCAAACAGCGGTAAGTACAGGCTAACCAGCCTCAGACAGCGGTAAGTACAGGCTAACCAGCCTCAGACAGCGGTAAGTACAGGCTATCCAGCCTCAGACAGCGGTAAGTACAGGCTAACCAGCCTCAGACAGCGGTAAGTACAGGCTAACCAGCCTCAGACAGCGGTAAGTACAGGCTAACCAGCCTCAGACAGTGGTAAGTACAGGCTAACCAGCCTCAAACAGTGGTAAGTACAGGCTAACCAGCCTCAGACAGCGGTAAGTACAGGCTAACCAGCCTCAGACAGCGGTAAGTACAGGCTAACCAGCCTCAGACAGCGGTAAGTACAGGCTATCCAGCCTCAGACAGTGGTAAGTACAGGCTAACCAGCCTCAGACCGCGGTAAGTACAGGCTAACCAAGCGTACATGTATAATTCAGTGACATTAAGGGTGAAATACTTAACAACAATTTTAAAGTATGTGATTTTGACTTCCACAAAGTATCAAATTGACACATTCATGGTATTTGAGATAAATGTATCCATGTTTAAAGATAGGTTATTGTATTCCTTTTACAGTTTATCTTGAATGTAATCGTTTCAATCAATTTTACTATAAATCATTTATTGTAGGGTAATCATTGTCATCAAATTAACTGAGATGTAATTCTTTACTCTGTGTTCTTCAGTTCCCAAGCCTTTTGCTGAAGTCAGCATTATGTCCAGAAAACATGAACACAGCAACATGTTACAGTTCAAGTAAGTCTTAATCTCTTAGTCCGGGTTTCCCTATGTTACCTAATACATGTAATTGCATGTATTTCATGGTTTATGGTTGAACCAAATACATGGAGATCAATTACAGTTAAGCTCTACTTTGTCATGTAAAGGAATAATTTTAGTAAAATTTTTGTTTAAATGTTGACAGATACTTCAAAGTCCTGGTACAGGAGATGTCTCTCAAAGTGGATCAGGGATTCCTCAATAACGTCATAGATCTGTTCACATCAAACCAGCAAGTGTCCAGGGATCAAGAGGTAGGGCTGATTCCTCAATAATGTCATAGATCTGTTCACATCAAACCAGCAAGTGTCCAGGGATCAAGAGGTAGGGCTGATTCCTCAATAATGTCATAGATCTGTTCACATCAAACCAGCAAGTGTCCAGGGATCAAGAGGTAGGGCTGATTCCTCAGTAATGTCATAGATCTGTTCACATCCAACCAACAGGTGTCCAGGGATCAAGAGGTAGGGCTGATTCCTCAGAAATGATTGTATTCTTAAGTCTTAAATCTAGTTGCATTCATTTAAAAGGATCTATTTATAAATGAATGCAATATCTGCCTTGACCCGTTGTCCTCTTTCCTATGGTTTTGTGAAGGGGATAAGTGATATAAAGAAACATTATAATAGATGTGTAAATACATTGTTAATTTTTCTTCTCTTTTCATAGCGTGAGATGTTGGAGGAGGATGTTAAGACAGTTTACACAGAACTACTGGAGGAGGCGGGGCTCTCACTAGCCGAGGAACAGAAGAATTTCTACGACTACCTCCACTTCTCTCCAATCAAGGTAAATAATCATCAAAACGTTTTATCTAATGTAATCAAACAATCAGGAACAGAAGAATTTCTATGACTACCTCCACTTCTCTCCAATCAAGGTAAACAGTCATCAAAGCGTTTTATCTAATGTAATCAAACAATCAGGAACAGAAGAATTTCTCTGACTACCTCTATTCTCTCCCATAAAGGTACAGAGTCATCAAAACACTTTGTAAAAATTCTCTGATAGATAAGTTCAATATTTGTTCCAATCAAAGCAACTGTATTCAGGATGGGGCTAGACAGAAGGCAATCAGATTTATGGAGAAATTCATGTAAATTGGGGGATCTACAGAACAGCAGTGATTCAAATGAGCAATTTTGGCCAATGTGGGTCTCTTGTTAATGATTGATTTTTTTATCTACTCCATTGTTTCTATTTTTAGATACACCTGAGCTTTTCCCTACAAGGAGGGGGAGGGGGAGATGGTAAGGGTGTACATCTCCACGCCAACATCATTAACGTCTTCCTTCAGAGTGTGGGCGTCGTCCTCACAGATGTCCAAGATGTTGTGTTCAAGTGAGTGTTTGTATGATGTTCAGAATGTCCTTAGTGATGCAGTGTTAAGAATGTTTGTAATGATTCCAATCTGTCTTAGGTGAAGTGATGTTTATATCATCTTCAAGTTTTATAATTTATGCTTATAATAATGTTTTCAGTGTGTCATGTTCAATTCAGTGTTCATGTGATAATTAGGATGTTTGTTCAATTGTTATCATTTCTCTTTTTCTTTATCAGGTTGGGTTACTTCCAGAGAGACAACAGTTTCTATAACCAGACCCAACTGACATCGGAGATGGGGCGACATTACGCTGGTCAGGCGGTCAAACAGCTTTACGTCCTGGTCCTCGGGCTCGACGTGCTCGGTAATCCGTTCGGACTCATCCGCGGAATGGCGGAGGGAATGGAGGACCTCTTCTACGAACCGTACCAAGTGAGTTTTCATAATCGTTTCTTTCTACAGATTAGTGTCACGTACCTTGAAACCGAAGCATGCAAAATTTTAAAAGTAATCGTCAGTGTTAATTTTAAGATTGTAAGGCATTGAAATCATGTTTGAATTTTGTTTATTTCTTGTCCTCCAGGGAGCCATACAGGGCCCAGAGGAGTTTGCTGAGGGATTGGCCTTGGGGGTGAGGAGTCTCCTGGGTCATGCTGTAGGTTAGTATGAATTATTCATAAATTGAGAGGTCATCATTAAATAATGCATATTAACCACTTAGATAAGTAGGACTTATGCATAAACTTAAAGATCATTAAAAAAATAATTCATCAACAATTTTGTCAGTATGAATCATGCATTTATTTGTAATGTTTGTACCTACTTTGTTGCCTCCTGAAATATGCGTCATTGCAACCGATATATAAATATATATTTAACACATTTTTTCTACTACTAGGTGGCGCTGCCGGAGCTGTGTCCCGGATCACGGGGACAATCGGTAAAGGACTGGCAGCCTTGACCTTTGATGATGAATACCAGAAGAAGAGGAGAGAGGGACTCAATAAAAAGCCGGCCAACATCGGGGAGGGGTTCGCCCGAGGGGGAAAGGGACTGGTCATGGTGAGGAATAGAATGGAATGAGGGAAATAAGGAATATTTTGTTTAGTTTTAAAAGTGATTATGTCATAAAAAATATAGTTCTTTAGATAAATTAAGGTTTTCTTTGATCATTAATTCTCTTTGATTTATTATATGTTTGTCATTATCAAAATTCTGGTAGAATTTAGTAAAATTGAAGTCTTGTATAACATTGTGTCTGTATTTAGGGAGTATTTGACGGAGTTACAGGTATTGTTAGAAAACCAATAGAGGGTGCTCAAAAAGAGGGAGTGGAAGGATTTTTCAAAGGTAAGATAACTGTTGTGTTCTCTGGTGTTGATTAAAGGGAATTACACCAACCATGCTCATGGCAGTGTAAGGTGTGATATTTGTCAGAGAAAGCAAACACCAGCGAGTTACCATACAATTATTTTTCAGGTATTGGTAAGGGTTTGGTGGGAGTGGTAACACGACCGACTAGTGGTGTGATAGATTTCGCCAGCAGCTCATTTGAAGGAATCAAAAGGTAATGTAAACAAAATATATTTAGCGGTGTATTCTATTTAGCTATTTTGGCAGAAAGCAGAGTCTGCTAAATCAAGTATTATAATGAAATATGAATGTATATATATATCATACATTCTTGTCTAGCAGATTCAGAGAGCACTAAATCAAATCAATGCTAAATTGCTGAAGAAAATTTCTGCTAAATATTGTACACTCCAAATACTATATATTGACAGTAAACTGGGATGAACAGATGTAAGAATCAAGTGAAATAATAAATCCTACAGACACTGCATGTATATATATATATAAATCACAATGTCAAAATAAGTTTGATGCAGAAGAAGTATCATCATCACAAACCACAGCCAAAATGTATGATCCTCTTCTATTCTAGCCATGGTTGAATGAAAAGAGAATACTTCATTAAAATATTGACTAACCGAGTAAAGCATAGGTGGACACTGAAATTTGTCGCAACCTTTCAATACCCCATCACAGTGTACAAAATATTTTTAGGTCACCTGAGTAAACTCAGGTGACCTATTGCTATCTGTTTTCGTCCGTCGTCGTTCGTCGTGCGTCGTTCGTCGTTCGTCGTGCGTTAACATTTGAACATTTTCAGCTTCTTCTCTGCAACCACTGAACCAATTTCAACTAAATTTGGTACAAAGCATCTATGGGTGAAGGGGAACAAAAATTGTGAATTTCATGATCCCTGCCCCCCTGGGGCCTGAGGGGTGGGGCCAAAACCACTAAAATTAGTGCAATCTTTAAAAATCTTCTTCTTTACTCCTGGACATCAAGCAGTCAAACTGTTTGCATGATTGTAATCAGCAATGAGTCCTCTACCAAAATTGTGAAATTCATGGCCCTGGGGTCAGGGGTTCTAGTGCTAGGGCGGGGCTAAATAAGTAGGTAGTGAAAATGCATTATTTCTTTGAAAATCTTCTTCTCTGCTCCTGGGTATTAAATAAACCAACTAAGTACATAGTTATGATGAGCAAGAGTGCCTCTACCAAAATTGTGAATTTTATGGCCCCAGGGTCAGGGGTTCTGGTGTTAGGGCGGGGCTCTAGTGATTATATAGTGAAAATACATTAATTCTTTGAAAATCTTGTTCTCTGCTCCTGGGTATTAAATAAACTAACTAAGAACATAGTTATGATAAGCAAGAGTGCCTCTACCAAAATTGTGAATTTTATGGCCCCAGGGTCAGTGGTTCTTGTTTTAGGGTGGGGCTCTAATGATTATATAGTGAAATGTATGAATTCTTTGAACATCTTATCCTTTGCTCTTGGTTAATATGCTAATGATCTAATTACATATCTGGGGCCAGGATTTATTTTATTTTCAGTTTTACAAACCCCCCGCTCAAGGTTTTGAACTTTTAGAAAAAAAATAGAAAAAAAATTTCTTTCGGATGTCAAATTTGAGTCGGGATCGAGATTTCAAATTTACGAACTCGCACTTCTGGTTTTTAGACCTGAAACGGCGGGTAAATAAAGCTAGATCCAAGAATTTGGCATGGTTTAGTGTAAAATTCATCGATAAGAGTGCCATTCAAAACGTTTCACCCGTTCAAAGGACAAATAAAATGCTGACGACTTTGTTGCACAATGACATGCTGGTGAGATAATTATGTATTCGTTTCAAAAGTAACTGTAAATTATTTTCCTCCCCAGGTTTTAAACTGCCCGTGGTAGCTATTGCATATTGTCAGGGACATTGTTTAGGTCTCTGTTATAGCTTACAGTCTAAGCATCATTCTTCAGAAAATTGTTGCTTATGCATCAGATGTAATGAATAAAACTATGGGAGAAGTGAAGTCTATTTGAGGAAGAAATAAACAATAACCTGAAGTGAAGAAATAAAAAAAAATTCAACTATTAAAAGGCAAGAATATACAAATATATGTAGTATCATTTGTATCAGCCAGAAAAATTATTTTACACTTAATTGAAACTAGAGGTACTGTGAGCGATGAGCTCACTAAATGATACCCCCCGCCTCCCCTATGGTTATAAGTGGTGAAAAAGTCCATGTTTTCCTGTGGCCGGGAAACCCAAAATATGTGTCGAATCAAAAAGTAAAATAGGAGGTGCACAATGGCAATATGTAATAAAGATTCTGTGAAAGTTTTATCAAATTTCATTCAGTGGTATGAGAGGAGTTACGGATAAGAGATGGGTACCCCAAAGCGTAACAGACGGACGGACAGACAGACAGACGGACGGACGGACGTACAGACGGACGGACGGACGGACGGACGGAATTAACGATTACTATATACCCTCCCGCTTTTCAAGCGGGGGGTATAAAAATGTTGACCCTACTCCCCAATACTTCCTGTCTGTTTTATGATAGGAATTATAATTTTAGGCATCAAGTAAATTTTAGAACAATGTCTACACATTCACCTAACACATATTAAGAAAATGAAGATGTATCATGTGTATTGAAAGACTTTTAAAGAATTGATTTTTAAAAATATATTTTGATCAACATCACAAAATTTATATAACTGGCCCAAACTGGCAGATGATGAAATAAGCAATTAAATGTTCTACTTTCCTATTTGTAAGTATTATGTGTCCAGTGGTAAAGAGCCTATTAGGATAGCATATAAAAAAAGAATGTACAAATGTTAATAATTGATTTATCAAAAAAATTTATTTCCTTTTCCTTCGGGACTTTTTTATTCTCATGTTCATAACTCAAACCTAAACATAAAAAAAAAATGCTGGCCTTATAATGAAGAAAGGGTCCTCTTTCAAAATAGATAATTTCAGGAGTGCTGGGTCAGGGGTACCAAGGGGGTACTTTGACTAAAAATAAATTAATGCTTTGAAATCTGCCCTTTGATAAGCAATGGTGCCTCTTTCAAAATTTGTGAATTTCATGGCTTTTGGCTTAAAACACGAACCAAATACAATCGCTGGAAAGTTGTTACATGATACTCAGGTGACCTATAAGGCCCGTGGGCCTCTTGTTATGTATTGATGTCAACATTGATAATTTTAATCACAATAGAAACATTAATGACATTAGCTGAACATGATATCATGGCACAGAGGTGTAAATATTCAAAATTAAACAATTTATGTGATCAAGCACCTACGGGTAGGAGAACACTATATGAAGACTCTGAACTGTGTCTTGAGATGATGGTAAAGTACATACTTTTTTTCACTGTGATTTTTTTAACAGGATAGCGGACATGACAGATGACGTCGGACGACTTCGTCCGCCGCGACGATTCCACTCTGACAGAATCATCCGACCGTACAATGTAGTGGAGGCCTCAGGATACGCAATCTTACAGGTAGGTGATTGAAAGTTATTACTTTAATCAAGTAAAAATCATATAAGTAGGGATTATTGTAAAAATTTAACTCTGTTGGTACTTGCATGGAGTAATGGATGTTATAGGGGAAATAAAATGTAAATTCTCTGTAGACTTAAGAGAAATGATGATTCAAAAATGAATAATATATAAAACTATTTTTTGAAGTTATCCAGTTTTATGAATACCTTTTTGTAATGTTAGTGAAAACAAAATAGAGACATTTTTTCTGCTACATAAAACTATGATCGTAGTTTGTAAAAAAAAATTAAAACAAGAGTTTCCAAATTTGCAGGAAACAGAAAAAGGGAAATATGCAGAGACAGATGAGTATGTGGCTCATTCTGTCATCATAGGAGACAGCAAGTCAATCAAGAGTGTACTTATAGTCACTGATAAGTAAGTACTGATTAATGGCTCATTCTGTCATCATAGGAGACAGCAAGTCAACCAAGAGTGTACTTATAGTCACTGATAAGTAAGTACTAATTAATGACCCATTCTGTCATCATAGGAGACAGCAAGTCAATCAAGAGTGTACTTATAGTCACTGATAAGTAAGTACTAATTAATGACCCATTCTGTCATCATAGGAGACAGCAAATCAACCAAGAGTGTACTTATAGTCACTGAAAAGTAAGTACTGATTAATGGCTCACTCTGTCATCATAGGAGACAGCAAGTCAACCAAGAGTGTACTTATAGTCACTGATAAGTAAGTACTAATTAATGACCCATTCTGTCATCATAGGAGACAGCAAGTCAACAAAGAGTGTACTTATAGTCACTGAAAAGTAAGTACTGATTAATGGCTCATTCTGTCATCATTGGAGACAGCAAGTCAAACAAGAGTGTACTTATAGTCACTGATAAGTAAGTACTGATTAATGGCTCATTCTGTCATCATTGGAGACAGCAAGTCAACCAAGAGTGTACTTATAGTCACTGATAAGTAAGTACTGATTAATGACTCACTCTGTCATCATAGGGGACAGCAAGTCAACCAAGAGTGTCCTTATAGTCACTGATAAGTACGACCAAGAGTGTACTTATAGTCACTGATAAGTAAGTACTAATTAATGACCCATTCTGTCATCATAGGAGACAGCAAGTCAACCAAGAGTGTACTTATAGTCACTGATAAGTAAGTACTGATTAATGGCCCACTCTATCATCAAAGGAGACAGCAAATCAACCAAGAGTGTACTTATAGTCACAGATAAGTAAGTACTGATTAATGGCCCATTTTGTCATCATAGGAGACAGTGAATTAACCAAGAGTGTACTGATAGTCACTGATAAGTAAGTACTGATTAACTAGTCAACAGTGTATTTATAGTCACTGATAAGTAAGTACTGATTAATGACTCATTCTGTCATCATAAGAGACAGCAAGTCAACCAAGAGTATACTAATATATATAGTCCCTGATAAGTAAGTACTTATTAATGGCTCATTCTGTCATCATAGGAGACAGAAAGTCAACCAAGAGTGTAATTTTAGTCACTGGTAAGTTAGTAATTAACTAGTCAACAGTGTCTTCTAAGTAGCAGATCAGTGAGTACAAGTCAAGGTGTTGCCATAGTAACATATCAATAGTACACGTCAATATGTTATCACAGTGACAGAGCAGGAAGGAATACAGAATCAGAAGTCATGGGAACTGTCAATAATTTTTTTTATTCCAGGAGAGTAATTTATGCCAACAGAGGGGACATTTTTGGACACTGGGATGCAGAGTGGACTTACACATGGAGTGAACTAAAAGAAAAACCAAAACGATCTGCAAAAGGAGTGGAGTTTCTTCTTAAGGTCAGTTATAACAGTGAAATAAATAATTGTGGGTTCACTTTGCCAAATAACTGAAGACTACCAAATTTTTGCCACACCCTATTGTTGAGAGATTAGTATTTGAATTAGTTTGGGAGACAAAATTTTTATGAACACTGGTTATTTAAGGAATAATCCTCTCTGTCTTTAGAATTGTTGCAGAATATTCCTCCATAGTTAAGAGTTTCTGCTTGCAAGTTATAAGCGTGCCCTTTTCACTTGGTTTATATTTACCAAGAAAATGTCGAGACCAGAGGAGTTTATTCTTCAACAATTCCGATTTGCATTAATATGTGAAAAAAATGAGCTTGCAAGTCAAAAGTGAAATATACAGTTAATCACTTATTCAAGTAATTGTTTACATTTTTGTAATTTTTTTTAAGGATGAAAAGAAAAAGAAATTTCCTTTCCAACTTGGGAGTTCTGCAAAGAAGATCGAAGTCCATATCTCCGAACCAAAGAGAGCAGAGGTAATTAGGTTCAGAGGAAAAATGGATTGACCTAATTTTCTGTGTTTGGATTGAATGAGCTTTTTTGGTCGTGTAATTCTGTTAGCATACTTTCAATGGTTTAACCAAATATTTTTTTTTTTTTTACAATTTCAGTGGTTGGTAGGAAAAATTGCAGAAGCTATGGATGCATGGAAATAGAGACAAATATATCGGAGACAATATATAATGCTTACGTGCCATCATCATCGACAGTGTATACCTCCCCTATCTAACTCTATAGACATTGACATCCCTTACTTGTGTGTGTGTTTGTTTGTATAAAAAATTATGTCCTGATCAAAATCGTGCACTTTGTTTATCCTATGCTTAACATTGACATTTTGTTAAAATATTTCTTTAAAAAAATAGAACATAAAATTTGTATTCTTTTGAAGTCTTAAGTAAAGGTTTGTGAACTACTTATACACCGTTACTTTTGTCTTGTCTTGTTTCAAATTTATTCAGTTGAGAAATAATGCTTATACATGTATGTTCTTTGAATTAGCCCCATTTTAAATTTGCCTATTAAGAGTTGTTATTTGATTATTGATTACGTTAATGTCCTTTGATTGAATAGCAGGTAATTAATAGTGCTTGTATGAGTATGATAAGTCTTTGATATCATTATCATTTATTTGTTATTATTACTATAAAGTTATCAAGGTGTAATATTGTATGTAAATTAGTTAGAACAAGCTAATTAGCAATAGATAGTGCCATCTCATGTTGTCTCATTTAGTTACATACATATCGTATTATAAGTACCATATAGGTATAGAGTATAAATATAAAATTATATAGAAATATCTATAAAAAAAAAATCATTTGTGTGCAAACAATTCGTATAATGATTTTGAATGTTGAATTGTTTAATTTTTTTTTTCATTTTGATTGTGATTTTAATAAACAACACAATATATTACAGGAATATTGTAGATCGCCTTATTTTTTATGACACCTTATTTTTGGGAGTAAGCTGGTTGGTACATGTATTTATTAGCAAGACAAAATTTTGGCAAGCTGTAGTTTCTATTGTTTATAGTCCTTTTATAATAGTACGTCTGATAAATTTTTTTTGCAAGCAGAAAGAATCAATTACGTGTAGATAAAACTCTCGCGAATAAAAATAGATTTACAGTAGTCCTAAACAAAATGCTCAATCATTATGCTGCTTATATAGATGTAGTCAATGTATTTAGATTTTCTGTTTTTTTATTGTCAGATAAATCACATTTAATATACCCTTATTGTTTTAGAAGAATTGTTATGTTATTTAACATCTTTATTTTATTTATTGCAGTTTTACAAAAAGTTGCTGCATTTATGTGCTTGTGTATAAATACTATGTTCACATAAAAAAAAACCAAAAGTACATCATTCATAAAAAATCAGTAATATTGCATAATAAGTTTTGGAGATAAATTTTTAACAGCATAGGATAATACAATATTATACATGTACCAAATGTAAAGAGCTGTTTGCTCTGAATGCTTTCATAATATACATTGGCATTTTAATTGATTTATAACAGAATCTTGTAATAATTGCAAAAAAGACACACAGTGACTAAAAATAGCAAGGTAAACTCTTCAGTCAGTTATTACATAACATGTAGCAATGTCTATAAATAGATTAATGAATATATATATATATATATAAGGATGTGTGTTTGTGTGTTAATTTTTCATAGAATTTTGTGAAAATTCTTTTGAATGAAAGACAAACTCAGTAGGGAACCTAGAATATGCTATCAAACCTCTCAAAGCAATATTCATCTGTATTCATGTTGACACATTCCCCTCTGTATAATAGTATATCATTTTTGTAATCCAATATAATTTTTGCATATGCAGAGTAAAAGAATACACATCACTAGGGTCATATTTTTTGTATTTCATGTATTATTTTTCTTCATCAAGTGTTTACTGTCATACTTTTATTTTATTTACACAAAGCCAAAATATTGCTGAATGTATTGAAAGCTGCACTTTATTATCATACAGTTAAACTTGCCTCATCTGGATCTTGTATAATTCAAAGTCCTGCCTAATACAATATACAAAAAATTAAAGTCTTTTCAGTAAGTTCATTTGTTTAAACTGCTGTCTAATCTGGAATGTTGTCTAACCCAGCCAATCTCTTTAGAACTAGTGTTGTCCCAGATGAGACAAGTTTTACTGTGTATTATGTATCTGCTTGTTTTGATATAAGATTTATTTTTGTATTATTTTATTTTGTTCACTAGTTTCCTGATGGTGAGTTCTGTTTAGTAAGGGTACATTCAGGAAATTTGCTGAACAAATTATTAGGTCTTGCCATAGCTTCAAATATTTTTTTTGTTAGTTTTTACTTTGTAGTAAAACTGTATATTCTCTAATATTTACCGTGTTACTGTGGGTATATGCTATTGGAGTTGTTAGAGTATAGTATACTATTGCGCCTATGTATTATTTTTTATTGTGCCTGGGTCTCTTTAATTGTCATAAAATATCTCTTGATTTTAAAACAAGTCTTAGGAAAAGAGGAATTTTCTGTTCTAATAACATAGGCCATGTAATTCAAAGAAAAGAAAAAAACACTGCCATATGACAAATTAAAAGTAACCTTTCAGAAACTAATAGATATTCCGTTTTTGGTACAATAAAACATGGTTGTAACTATTAAGGTCAAAACTTTATTATCTCTTCCCAAAGTGTGTGACTACGATATAATAATTTTCCCTTTAACTTCGTTTTACCTATGGGATAAGATTTAAGTTTTTATTGTTCTTAGAAAGCACATACTTGGTGAGTGTGAAATAAAATCTGTGTGTATAATCCAAATCTTTGTAGGTGAGTCTAATTGTCAAAGCCTTGTCCCCAATATAGTCACTATAACCTTATTGTTTAGCTAAGTCAGGTGCAATGTATGAGGAATTATGCTTATCTCTACACTTTAGAAATATTGAAATTGTTGATATCAATAAGTCTTTTATGTATGGAATATTTCAAATGTAACCGTAAAATAAAACTTGCATTTGTTAAATAGTTTGTGCCTATTAAAACCCTGTCTATATAGAAACCTTGTGTCTAGATAATGAATTTTCTTACTGTGTTATTTTATCCAATGCATTTAAATTACATTTCCTGTTAACTTCACTTTTTTTTCTTGATTACAGTCAAACTTCGTTATTTCGAACCTAACTAATTGAGAAATTTTTAGAGATCGTTGAGCATTTGATAGTGAGTTTAAAAAAACAGTAAGATAGAGGTGTGACTGACATATCCATGGGTTTCGAGATATCCGTGTTCGAGATAAAGAAGACCGACTGTATTACATGTACCTTTATTTACTGTGTGAGTAAAATGAAATGTTAAAAAACACATAATAAGATTCTGATATAATCTGTCTTTTCGAAGTTATTGGTAGTTATTTACGAAAATATTGAAGTGCTGCTTGTTTTTATCCGTTTAGTGCAATAAAATAATATCACAAAGTTACCGTGTCTTCATCGGTCTGAGTAACATTAATTTACATATTAATGCAGGCTATTGACAAAAATATTGACGTTACAGGGCTTTAACAATACCTGTTAAAAGTAGCCTTTCACATATTCCATGGTCATTATTATGGTAATTATACCCCCCGCTTGAAAAGTGGGAGGGTATACTGTAATCTGTATGTCCGTCTGTCTGTTACGCTTTGGGATACCGATCTCTTATCCGCAACTCCTCTTATACCACTGAGTGAAATTTAATGAAACTTTCACCGAATCTTGATTACATATAACCATTGTGCACCTCCTATTTTACGTTTTGATCCGACACATATTTTGGGTTTCCCGGCCAAAGCAAAACCTGGACTTTCCATCTTAACAATATGGGAGGCGGGGGGTATTTAGTGAGCTAATTGCTCACAGTACTTCTAGTATGTATTAAGATTAAGATGCTCAGTGAGGAGTCAAGCTTTCCCGTTACAAATTATACTGTACCTTACGCGGATGGACGACCAGTCCTAACCAAAGTGGAGACAATTTAATAATCATTTTCATGTATCTGTATTTTTTAATGCTTCTATTTTCCTTGATCTTTGTAAGTAGTTTTCAGTTGCTTAGCAATATAACCATATAGTACTCTTCACTGTTAAAGAAAATCAATACTGGCGTCAAAATATGAATGAATTTTTCTTGAGATGAAAAGTACGTTTTGATTACCCTTGCTAAAGTATACATCTTCAAAAAAAATTACTGTATTTAAAACATAAATTTGTTTAACTTTAATTAGAATTCAGTATAAATTTACATAAAAACATGCATGTAGAATGTTGGTGTAATGTTTTGCATTTAAACTAATTTCAACCAATTATTCCATTCGGGTATCGTGGATTGTGAGCTCGGAGGAGGGGGGAGGAGGGTTACGATGTTTTAAGTTCCAGAATCTTTATTTACCGAGTATATTGCATCACATGGCGAATGGAGAATTTTACGATGTTTAAGTCCCAGAATCCGTTTATTTACCGAGTATATTGGATCCCAGCTTTCTGTATCAGCCTTCGGTCCCACCTGGGTGATTTTTATGTTTACAGGTACAGCTCCGATCAATACTGAATCATCCATAAACAGCTGCCGTGGTCACGTTCACATCTCACCATCACAGGTGTAAGTAAAACGATGACAGGGACGACGATACTGCAGATGTGAATCTTCACACACACGAACTGTCATCGTTATAATCATCGCTGTCCTCTAATCGTCGGCGATGAGGGCGTCATTGGATTCAGCAGTGAGAAATATCGAAGATTCCGAGCAGTGTGGAGAAGATACGTAAGTTATTAGTAGTACACGATTTCATTATTGAGTTATGCTTGCTTTATCCAATTAATTTAAAGTTCACTTGGTAGTGTTAAAAAGTGTTTTTATTGAAAGGCGCCTTTTACGAGTATTTTCCCGATCTCTGTTTGTCATGCGATCAAGTGCATTTTTTAAGGAAAGTAAACAAAAAGTAAATTACATACAAATTTATTAACTTCCCTTTCCATCTCCCAAATATCATTAGCAGAAGAATTATTTTACATTATTCGTCATAATATCAACTGAATTATGTATTTGATTAAATTTTATCTTTAAAAAGTAGAATAAATGCTGTTTGTAATGTGTGATTTGTGACGATAAATAGGTTACAGAATTTTAAAATAATAATATTGGATACTACATGTATACATGCATACGTCCACATATGAGAAAAACCTAATATGGAGATCTAAATGGAAATCGAGGGTCGTATATTAGATATATCATACACCCGTACGCTCTTGTCTTGAAATCTGCCTGGAAATCTAGAATCGTATATGATATCAGTATTTCTCCAATAAACAGAGAATCAGATACACAGGGCGATGGTATTAATTATTGAGACGGAAAAGCCACTGTGTTCACCAGAGTAAATCTCCAGCTCCGCGCCATTACTCTCCACAGGAGAACTGTCATTAAATATGTATGACGATTTAAATCCGGCGGCTCGGATTAATTCTTTTCACTCAATTAAATCTCTCTCTCTCTTTCGTTCTTTCTTTCATTCTCTCTGTTACTCCTTCATTCTCTCGTTCTTTCTTTTATTATCTCTCTCTATCTGTTATTCTCTCATTCTTTTTTTCATTATTTCTCTCTCTCTCTCTCTTTCTCTCTCTCTCTCTGTGTTACTTCATCATTCTCTCGTTCTTTCTTAGTTTAATTCTCTCTCTCTTACTCCGTCATTCTCTCGTTCTTTATTTTATTATCTCTCTCTATCTCTGTTATTCCCTCATTCTTTTTTTCATCATCTTTCTCTCTTTCTGTTACTCCGTCATTCTCTCGTTCTTTCCTAGTTTCATTATCTTTCTCTCTCTCTCTGTTACTCCCTCATTCTCTCGTTCTTTCTTTCATTCTCTCTTTTTCTTTGATTATTATACTAGTATATTAATTTTCTCTCTCTTCGCTCTCTCTTTTTCTGTGTCTTCTTCATTTTCTCTTGCATTTTGTCTTTCATTACCGAACCCCCTCCCTCTCCCAACCCCTCTCTGTGTTATTCAACCAATAGCTTGACTTCAAGCTATGTATTTTTACTCACATTCTTTTTTGTTGACAGTCAATGTATAAATATACAATAACTTTTCTTTTAATGTGTCAAGATGGTATTTTTTTTAAACATTTGTATTGATTCAATCCCATTCACAAAAAGGGGGAAAAACACTTCCGCCACAATAGTTGGGAAAAGTTCTGGTTCCGCTCCTAATATATTGCGTTTAAAAAGACCTTTAATCATTGCATGGTCTTTAATCGCATTTTTTCTCCTTCTGTTTTTCATTAATCCGTTAAAACTTTCGAAAATAATCTCTTGTAATAAGAAAACACACATTAAGAGTGGATTATATTTTGTCCGCGTCGTTATACCGTGTTATTTAGTGCACTTTGGAAAGGCGCAGCAAGAAAGGTTTATATAGTGTCTACAGGACTTCTGGCGAAGTCGCCTGTATAGTGGAACCCTGACCTAATGTTATACATGATCATCTGACGGAAATTGTATTTTTACCGATTGCTGGTAAGAATATCTATGATTTTACCGATAACCTGTAAAGAATATCTACGATTTTACCGATAACCTGTAAAGAATATTTATACGATTTACCGATAAACTGTAAAGAAAATCTTCGATTTTACCGAAAACCTGTACAGAATATCTACAATTTTACCGATAAGCTTTAAAGAATATCTACAATTTTACCGATAATCTTTAAGGAATATCTACAATTTTACCGATGACCTGTAAAGAATATCTATGAATTGATTTTACCGATAACCTGTAAAAGAAAATAACATGTATGTTTATTAATTACTAATGTAGTCCGAAATATCTCACGTTTTCCAGGCTTTTTTATTTAATGTGCCAGGAAAAAAGGAAAATATCAAAATCACAAAAAAGCCGTGGAAAAACGTCAGGTATTTCTTATCATGATGGGGATATTTATTGGTGTACTGATATCCGTTTAATATATAGTTTTGGTGTTATTACTTTCTGGAGAAAATATACAGGATTTTTGAAATTATGGGTAAGAGTTTTACAATTTTTAAGATTCAAAAATATATTTTAATTAAAATAGTATGCCTACGGTTAGGTATGTGATATAATTAACCGATTTAACTGGAAAGGTGCCAACTCCATGCATATCGTAAATGATAATCTTAAAATAAATAGTTTTGTTTATATGGTAAAATTAAGTGAGCGTTTACACAGCGCAATATTTCATGCATCATAAAAAAAAATTACCAATTTTTTCACTTAATTAAAAAAAATATTAAGAAATTACAGTTGAAAAATTTAATTTTTAAAACGATTTTTCAACTGATAGGTAAATTGACGTCGTATTAGTGTTTTAGGCGTTATGAAAACGTGAAATCTTTATTATATTTTTGCATAAGTCCCTTGCATCCGTCATATTTTATAGTACTCTATAGAAATAGGAAAATTCATTCAGTAATTTTTGGAATTTTAGAATACTACCCCTCCTCCCTCCTCTAGAAACAGGACGGTAGAATTTTTGTGTTTCTCACATATACTTGTAATGTACAATATAGTATTACTTTTCATATTAAAGTTTGGACAAAAAGCCTATTATAGTATATTTGTATTATTTGCTTTCGAGGGCAAAAGTTTGCACTTTCCTATATCATCCAATAGTAAATGCACCTGTATTTTGAGACGGTCCCTTCAGATAGATTTCCCCCACACTTGACGCGTACACCGAAGTCAAATTTACGTATATATGGTTTGAGAATAAAGAGTTTCTCTATTGTAGTTTTCACACAATAAAACCCCAGTCGCCCCCCTTATAGCCGCACTAGGCGGAGCATCATAGGAGATTGTGAACGCAATAAAGAAAATGAATTAATCTTAACAGTAAATTACGTTTTTAAAATACTGTTTTGCAAAATAAATTTGTTTACTTATATCTTATATTTGTCTAGTGATTTATCAAATACATGTGAATCATTATTCAAATGTTGACTGACGTTTTTCATGTTAATTGTTGGGCAATTCTTAACAAACTAGTACTGCATTTTCTGCGGAATTTTCTCTTTAGGGAATACATCCTTCTCTATGACACCCGATCTCACCTTTGATATTTTTGTAGGTCCACGTTTGCGACCCCACCCCGACTTAATTAATAATGGACTTTGAGACTGAATGTACATGTAAAAAGCATATTACTCGAAGGTGGTATATCTACTTCAGAATACAGTCACCTTAAGGTGGACTACCCCTAGGTTGTCAGTTTAGTAGAACTATCTACTTTCAGTATGCATGGACCGTCTCTTTAAGGAGGTCTGTATTAATCTAGTAACTACTCGATTCTCAAAGCTAGCCTCTAGCAAAAAGTTGCTGCATGAACTGTTCCCCAAGGTGGGCATGCATAAGGTAAAGAAGCGAAAAGTGTTGAGTTTCCGGATAAAAATTACTGTGTCTAAAATAACTTTTTAAGAGGAAGTTAATTTTGTTTTGAATACATTAATAATTTCGGTTCAAATGACACTACCCACATGCATGCATTTATAAATTTTGTTTGCTCGCATCGAAAATTAAGGACAGATGATACGATCCTCAATATTATAATTTTTTTTCCAAAATTTGTCATTGAAATATTGCTACTTAAATATGTTTACTCACAAAAAGTTGAGGTACCTTACCAAACTTTGGACAAGATAGCAGAGGGTAGTGTTTCTTATATAATCCTTTTCCGAAAAAACTAAATTTCCAAAATTAGATCTTTTAGAGTTTCAATTTTTTAATGACTATATTAAAAACTGGTTTAGAAATCAGAATGTAATTAAAATTTAGAATATTTTTCATATATTTCAAAAATTTACAAAACAGATATTTTAGGAACGTATCGTCTGACCTTAAAGTATAAAAAAAAGGAAACAACCTTTAAATGAAATGCAACATACTCGGTAACGTAATATTTGTTTTAATTTGACCTTTTTATTGGAATTTATTTTTGCAAAAATTCCATAAAATGTTTTAAAATGATATGTGTCTTCGGCCGATTTGATGGTTTGCATCAATTAATCTTGTTAAATGTAGCCCTCTTATGGCGAGTGATGGCATGGCAGTAGGAATGAAAATTGCTCAAAGGGACGTTAAACAACAAACTCTCAGGACTTAATTTCCAAAAAATCTTATTTAAATTTGAAATAAATTTTTACTTTACGGTTTTATAAAGGAATCATCGTCAAATATTTAAAATGTTATTCTCAGGAAAGGGTTAACGATCATCAATGCAACATCTTTTTTTTCAGAGACACTTCACGCATCACTGATGAAGCTCACGGGATGAAGTTACAGGCAACCCTACAGCTAGCGCTACAGTCCAGTGATTTTGACGCGATCAAAAGTATAGTTGAAAATGACAACTTTGACGTCAATTGGCGTGACGTCAGCCACGATCTTCAGAGCCTCGTTATGAAATTATGCTATGTCAATTTCAACCAAGAAGAAGTTCTTCAGTTATATGACGCCATCTTTGAAAAAGACCCGGATTTGAATTTACAGGACTCTCACGGACGCACGGCCTTGATGCACGCTTGTATCGCGGGGAAGGAGGAGATCGCGGAGTATTTAATCAGTGACCCCACAACCAGGATAGAAATCTTTGATTTTGATGGTAACTCTGTCCTGTCTCACGCGGTCAGGTCACAGGACGTGCGCACTACGAGGAGACTTCTGGACCATCCCAGCGGGCACCTGTTATTAGAGGTGTATAATAGTTTCGGTAGGTTCAGTCTAGAAGATATCTTCAAAATAAATGAATAATGTAAAATGTAATTGTATTAGTTATTCTCTGGATGCGCCGTTTACAAGAACGCAACTGTTATGATAGGATAACTTGTTACTAAAGACGGTAGGTTCACTCTAGCGGGCACCTTTTACTATAAGTGTACAGGCTCTCTATAGGTTCACTGTAGGGACACCGGTTACTAAAGATGTACAGGTTATTTAAAGGTTCACTCTAGAGGTCACCTGTAACTGGAAGTGTTCAGGCTCTTTAAAGGTTCACTCTAGCTGGCACCTGTAACTAACGATGTTCAAGCTCTTTAAAAGTTCATTTTAACCGGCACCTGTAACTAAAGATCTACAGGCTCTTTAAAGGTTCACTCTAACCGGCACCTGTAACTAAAGATATACAGGCTCTTTATAGATTTACTCTAACCGGCACCTGTAACTAAAGATGTGGCACTTGTTACTAAAGATGGTGAGGCTCTTTATAGGTTCACTGTAGCCGACACCTGTTATTAGAGGTATTCAAATGTTTCTGTATATTTATTCTAGTGGACACCTCTTAGTGAAGGAGAAAATCATTAATCATGGTTTTTGTATGTTCACTCTGATGGGTAATTCTGTCTGTTTGGCAGGGAGAATACTAGTATATGGAGAAATAAGTTTCCATTTGTAAATGAAAATATTGTAATATTCACCTATTCAAGTCTTGTACAGTAAGCAACAATCAAAATGGCTGTCAAAACAATATTGAAATGTATAGTTTGTGATTGGGAAGACACATTAATTGGTAATAGCAAAATGAATAATTTACTCTTAATTTAAAAATTTATAATAGAGAACACATCCTTAGAAAATATAACAGATAACATGCACTGCCTTCAATTTCCGATGATATCAAACGCTTTTACTTTTATTTCATTTAATGAATTACTAATACATGTAAGTAAACCTATAAACCCAATCTATTCCCAGTTACATCTTCAATGACCCTTTAATACTAGGTTAACTCATATCAAGCAAGGTCTAAAATTAGATTTATTATATGGACATGGTTATATTAAGGCATTAACAGACGGGAAGTTTTGACCTTAATCCGAAGAAAATGAGATTAACCTGGGTGAATATGCACCGGTCAATAATAACTATGTTAATTATAACATGGTATTTCTACCCGTGTATCTGGAGCAGTGTCTATATGACCTAGATCTGATAATTGATCGGTTTATGGGGAGAATCTCCTAATTTTGTACTATTTTGCCCCCGATATTATATTATAGTAGTATTTCCTCTTAGTTAAAACAAGAACTCAATATTTCCTCTTAAGAACAAGACCTCAATAGTTATGTAAGCTATATAACCATTGTTAAGGGGGCCGACTGGGGTTTTATTGTGTGAAAACTACAATAGCAAAACTATTCATTTTTATACCATATATAACTTACATTAACTGTAGTGTACCTGAAAAGTTTGGGGAAAATCTACCGCCCAGGTATTTCTAAGGGACTGTCTCAAAATACAGACCGGTACATTTACTATAGGATTATGTAGGAAACTTCAAAGTGCCAATTTTCGCTCTTTAAAGCAAATTATACAAATACTACAATAGACTTTTTGCTCAAACTATAATATATGATGAGTTATATTATATTGTACATTATATGTACGAACCACAAAATTCTACCGCCTTGTTTCCAGAAGGGGCATTTAAAAATGCCAAAAAATAACCAGTTTCCTTTTTTTTATGGAGTACTACAAAATATGACGCATACAAAGGATTTATACAAAAAATTATAAATATGACGGAGAGATTATATATAAAATTTCTCTGTTTTGAATTTCAAGAGAATATGTTTATTACTTTTCTTTTATATAACATTTTTTATTAGTCCATCTTTACGAGCGTCGCGTTATCTAAGGTCAACAACACACTATTACAACGCCATTCTAATCAGTTATTTAAAATTATAAAAAAAATTTCGACCCGTTATTTCTTAATTTTGTTTAGTTTTATTAAATAAGTGAAAAAATTGCTTTAAAACAGTAAATACGCTTCATTTTACTATGATGCGCGAAATATTGCGCAATGGAAACCACAGTCGGCCTCCTTAAATAAGTTAAATAATTCAAGTATAAAGCATACTTTATTGATACTTGGTAAATTATTTGATTTCCTGGGTAATTCTAATCCCCGACTTTTCTTGCTTCGACCTAACTAAAGTGTCGTTGCAGAGCAGAATAGGATAATTTTCAATTATTTATTGATGAATAGCTTTATAATGGATAGATGAAATAAAATGAAATTCTTAGGCCTGGATAGATACAATTTCGTTAATCATATATAAAGCAGGAGTAGTTTTATCTTTTGGTCTATTCTTTATTAAGCACTTTCACCTTCCATTTTCCTTTCGATTTCATTAAAAAACAAAGAATTTATTTCAATAACATGTAACAAACACATCACACTATAAATAAATCATTAAATTGACTGGCGTTTTTCATGCAAATTGTTGGGCTATAATTCTTACACTAATTTATTTACTGATATTTCTGATTATCCGATCATTAAAAGGAGTAGAGCTTGTATTGCAGATCCATATGTGATGCTTACTCCTTTAAGGTATCTGATCCCACGTCTGATGTTTTTAGAGGATCACGTTCGCTCTGATTTGAAATGTGTCAATGGCCTCTGGCCAAGATCGCTGTTTGCTATCTAGATGTATTTCACTTAAGCTTATCGTGAATTAATGAAAGCAGAGTTAAATATTCTTAAAACGCAAGTCTTGTAAATATATGACATCGATAACAAGTTCTTGGTTATAACTATAACAAAATATTTCACATCAAGGCGGAAAGATAACTAGAAAATATAATTAAAGGATTAATTAATATACATGATTGTTGCTCACTTATTAGAGTTTTTTTCAGGTCAGAGACCTATCGACATTGCAGAGAAACAGGAAAGAAAAGAGTATTATAATCTACTAAGGACGTATCAGAAAGAGCAACGACCAATGGAAAGTCAGAAAAAGATGACCGTGCTTCCACCGGCGTTCTCACCTCAAAACGAGGCTGCACTCAGACTGAATGCTTCTAAGGCAAATTCCGTAACGGATGTAGATTTACTAAAAAGTACACCAAGATCAACATATATTGATGACGAAACACCGAATCTTTATTTGACGTCACCAAAACTCAGGAGAAAGAAACACAAGCGATCAAAAGATAAGTCGTACGTAGAGACTTCACTTCCTGCTATCAAAACAAATGATATCAAGAGCAATAAAGCGACACCTAGGGAAAAGTTAAAGGTAGACTCGAAACAAAGGGAAAGAAGAAATTCTATTTCACTTCCGGACCTTCGGGACTCCCCTGGAGGTTTAGTAACTTCCGGTGGAAACACCCCGAATGAAAACTATGACTACTCGTCAGATTCAGACTTCAGTGATGACGCAATTGTTGACCTCTCTTATGGGTCACCGAGAAAATCAATAGAGCGTATAGTTAGACGAAGCGCATCGGAAAAGCAAATCGGATTTCCGAGCATCGATAAAGGAAAAGATGGTTCTAAAGTGAAAAGGACCTTAACAGAGGGGAGTCTATACAGCAACAGTGATAGCAAACTAGACAGACTTAAACTTCTACAAAAGAGCGTGCTAAGTTAATAGTGATAGCAAACTAGACAGACTTAAACTTCTACAAAAGAGCGTGCTTAGTAAACAGTGAATACAAACTAAACAGACTTAGAGCGTGCTAAGTTAACAGTGATAGCAAACTAGAAAAACTTAAACTTCAATACCAAATAGTGTGCTTAATTAAAAGTAATAGCAAGCATGACAGACTTAAACTTCTACAAAAGAGCGTGCTTAGTTAACAGTGAATTCACACTAAACAGACTTAAACTTCTACAAAAGAGCGTGCTTAGTTAACAGTGAATACAAACTAAATAGACTTAAAGCGTGCTAAGTTAACAGTGCATGCAAACTAGACAGTCTTAAAATTCTACAAAAGAGCGTGCTTAGTTAACAGTGATAGCAAATTAGGAAAACTTAAACTTCAATACAAAATAGCGTGCTTAATTAAAAGTGATAGCGAGCATGACAGACTTAAACTTCTACAAAAGAGCGTGCTTAGTTAACAGTGAATTCACACTAAACAGACTTAGAGCGTTCTAAGTTAACAGTGAATTAAAACTTGACAGACTTAAAATTCTACAAAAGAGTGTGCTAAGTTAACAGTGAATTAAAACTTGACAGACTTAAAATTCTACAAAAGAGTGTGCTAAGTTAACAGTGAATTAAAACTTGACAGACTTAAAATTCTACAAAAGAGTGTGCTAAGTTAACAGTGAATAAAAACTAGACAGACTTAAAATTCTACAAAAGAGCGTGCTTAGTTAACAGTGGTAGCAAATTAGAAAAACTTAAACTTCTATACAAAATAGCGTGCTTGATTAAAAGTGATAGCAAGCATGGCAGACTTAAACTTCTACAAATGAGCGTGCTTAGTTAACAGTGAATAAAAACTATAATGACTTAAACTTGTAGAAAAGAGCGTGCTTAGTTAACAGTGAATAAAAACTAGACAGACTAAAATTAACTTCCACAAAAGAACGTGCTAAGTTAACAATGAATAAAACTAGACAGACTTAAACCTCTACATAAGAGCGTGCTAAGTTATTAGTGAATGCAAGGTATAGACAGACTGCACCTATTCAAAAGAGTGCCTACCTGAAAAGTTACATTTTCAAACTATTTAAAAGATTGTTCCTAAGACAGAGAAGTAAACAGTTTACAAAGTCTCTATGTTCATCTTTAGGAAAGTTGGATTCTTAAAAATACAGTCACTGTTACATTAACCGCTTGACTATTTAATTAATGGGAAGTCATACAACTGCTTATTGATCTTTGACAATGATGTTGACGATGGATATACAGTTTATCATCCTGTGTAATTCATATCATGGAATCGTGTTCTTTGACTTTTTTCCTCTGTGTTGTTGACTGAAATTTTGAGAATACATGACTTGTATCTGTTATAACAATGATTTTTCCCTCCTTTTTTGAAGTATGCTAATGAAAACACAGATTGTTGTGTATGGATGTTATTACGATTATAGAAATAAAATGATGTATATTTCTGCTGTGATTATATTATACGCAGTCTATTTGATCGATACACTGGATGTGTGTTCACTAGGGATGCTTATTCCTCCAAGGCTCCTGATCCAATCCGTGGAATTTCCAAGAGTCTGTGTTTTATGCGCCCTTCACATATTTAAATTGAATTGTTTATAAATTCCTTTTAGATCTATCACACTGGTTATCTTCATCTTTTAGCTCACCCGAGCCGAAGTGCTCAGGTGAGCGATGTTATCCATGGGCCTTTTGTTCATTCAGCTTGACCAAAGAAGTCATGACATACTTTCAGGTTAGTTGTTCCTTCTGTTTCTTATTAAAGAGAGATAACTCTTTAAACAAAGAATGACGATTGTTTAATGTTTATATTGCTATCTAAAGAAATTGTTCATGTAAAGTAGATGAAAGAACATAAAATTTATCATCGATGATGATTATAGTTACATTGATGGAAGGATCGTAGCAGGTGCCTTTAAAGACAATTCATGTTTAGAGGAATCTAGATGTTAAAAAATAGATACAATTAGATAAAATACATTAGAAAACACTTTAGTACCCAATATTGTCGTATTTTACCCATTGGATAATAACATGTGCAGTGACGTACTCAACACTGATTCACTAAAAGTGATCCTGATTTTATCAGGGTAATGTAAGATTCTCCCAATACCCCAGGCAGAGATGTCGTTCATTCCTCTCTCATATACACTTCTACAATGGGCTCAAGTCAAGATTTTTAACATAACGTATAAAACGTTCTATTTGCAGGATTGTTTCAAATTAATTAAATTAATAGTTTTGGATTGTTTTAGTAAATATCTATCTCAAAACTCAGACATAAGCATAAAAACTGAATGATAATGAATCAAAATAATCGCACTATTTCTCGTATTTATCACATATGACATACGCGAATCAAAAACAGAGGTGAATGTATGAGCCGATATTAGAGAGTTAGTTTCTCCATTAGTTCAAGAGAAAGGTAGTGCATGACATATCACGTTAAGGTTTGCTAATCACGTTTCAGTACTTTAGGTACTTTGATTCATTATTGTAAAGTCTCTTGCAACCCTCGAACATTAACCTAAAGTCCGGATTTTGAGTTGTATTGAATTTTGCAGAGCTATATATCAATAAAAACATAGACCTTATGTGGAGGGGATAAAAGGATATAAGTCATTCCTTTTTTTTACATTGATACGTGTACTGTAGTGTAATTGAAAAATCATTTCGGTATATATCAAAATTCAAAGATAGCATCTATTTAATTTCATTTCATTAGCTTTTTCGAATAACCAAATTAAACTGATTTTTTAAATTCTTAAAGCTTCATGGATAAAAAAAAATTGCATTTAATAGTACTACATGTACTTTGCAGTTGTAAAAATTGGCTAATCTAATGGAACGTGTTTTCATTTTCAGAGTTATCTTTCTTTCTCTATGATAAAAATTTTATCCGAAGTGGTGAAAATTGATGTTATTTAAATATTGATAACTTGGTATCAGCATGATATAAGAAATTCTCACAGCTGTTAATTCTGGCATTAAAACGCTAAAAACAACTTCTGAAAAGGAAGAGATTCCAAGCGAAAGAAGGGGTGGGGTGGGGGTAGGGGTTGGGGTAGTGGCCTCAATCCTCCCAAAATAAAACTCCACAAAATCACTATGAAGAGAAAAAAATTACTTCACCATGTTCACCTAAGTTCAAATTATGAAAGTAATTCTGGTAAGTTAAAAAAAGAAAAGAAAATTACACCACATAACACAATCTAGATCCTCCACTGTTTTATGAAAGACATTTTCCCCTTAACATATGCAAAACATGTGTTCTCGAAATCAGAAGTTCCGTGGTCTTTATTAAATACAATACGAGAATAAATGAAATGCAGGTTAAAAGTGAATGTTATCAGGCCCCATATGTAGATCTATTATCACCCTACAAGTTGAGTTCGGATTGTAAGTGACGGAATTGAATTCTATCGCGCCTTAATTATTGACAAAGGTGACACAGGATTTTGTGTCGGCAGATTTAGAGCCCTAAACGTTTCTATTTCTTGTGTAAACTTTCATCAATAGCTTTCACCGCAGAAGAAAAAGTAAAATATATTTCAATCATGATATAATTATTCCTTTTCCTTTTTATACAAAAGAAGACAATTATTCTTACATGTATAAAAGACATTGATTCACAGAACATTATATTTATTTTATTTTAATACAGGTATTTTTAAGTACCGCAAGTAAAACACGTACACGTTTGATAATTTTCCATTCAATCGCTTTCTGGTGTATTAAATCATGAACTTCTTGTCTGAGTTAAACCAACCTCTCATTATCCGAATCATTTCTGTGGGATTTTAACTAACACAAAGATCGCTGCACCGCATCAGTGCACTTTATACGGAATTTAACTTTGACAAGACAAAAAAAAAACTTCATTGTTTTACCAGAGTTATGGAGGCATGACCAACGACACGAACTAACAATGGTAAGGATCCGGAATTCTTTTGTTTTCACTGAAGGTTTTTCTTTTCTTTTCGATCCACAGATCTTTTAGCAGAGGGAGAACTTCTTTTAAAAAACTTCTTTCATATTATCTAAAAACGTGGATCGTTTAATTGATAATTTTGTTAGTTCTTTGATTTTGATTTGTTTTGTTTGCTTGTTTTAAAAACTCGGCTTAGTTCAAAGTGAAGTTTTAGTTTAGTTTTCATATTTGTTAAAATCTTGGATTTTATTTGTAAACATAACAGAGTTTAATTTACAGAGAGAATAATTAAAAATTACCGAGTCTAGGGGTCGGATTTATACATTTTATTCTTGCAGATATATTTATTAATCAAAGAGTCTTTTCAAATGTTTTGTGAGGGATTTATACAGAATTTCTTTTTTCCCTATAATATAAAAGTGAAGTACTTATGAAAAATAATTCATAATAGAAGGATTTTCTGGTGTTGTACATATTATAATTAAATTTATTTTATGTAACAAAACGTAAAGAAAGTACTGTCTGTGTATTTTAAAAAAAAATTCCGAATTTATTGTTGAGCGAACATAAATTGAACTGATCGGTACATAGATGTCATAGTGTCAAAAAAAGAGATTTTTTTCATTTCAATATAAATTTGTTTGTTATATACCTATTTGTAAAGTGATGTGTTTATGTGGGCATAATAATGATATCAAAATATCCGAGGACTTTAAAACCTGCAAGATCTTAGTTTAAAGAAATGAGCTCCTTTGTCAGAGATCCACGGGGCGACATGGAGAGTAGTGTGTACGGAGGTACACGGACAATATGACAATAGACAAGGGGCACCTGCTATAATGGAGGAGTGATTTAAATGAGTCAAACAAATTAAACTGGATCCATCTGATTTCTTTTTTTTTCTTTATAGCATAAAAAAATAATTATACTGAGAAACTGAAGATATTGATTTGGTTTGCTGTATATCAGTTTAAGTTTTATGTTTTCAAACAGTGAAAAAATTAATTTAAAAAAATTTCTGTCAGTTTACTAAACCAAAAAATTATTAAATTATCAAAGTTTATATATAGAATGAATTGCATCACTTGATGAGAAATCAAAAGAGTTCTGAAACACTACTAAAACTATGCGAAAACTTAAGCTTACTAGTAATAAAGTTTCGCAAATTTTCAGTACTGAAACTTCAAGTTTCCGCAGTATGGAAACTTAATATGTCTATATATTTTTAAATACAGATATAATCATATATACAGATTCCATCTTTTGTTTCATTCAAATAAAGAAATCCGAAATTTTTATATCAGGCGGAGAAGAAAGCCAAGAAGAAGAACGGTCCTCGCCTGGAGCTGACTAAAGAAATGAAGGCGGATCTCAGGGAGGCGTTTGATGTGTTCGACGCCGACGGGTCAGGGACAATAGATGCTAGTGAACTCAAGGTCAGAATTCAAGGGCAAGTTAAAAACAAAGCTTACAACCAAAAAATTGATATCTTTTATCAAGATAACTATATTAGGGAGTAAAGTATTTGCTGTAATTTGTCACATTCTTTGCAATGTAAAACTTTTTATCCTACATTTCAGATAGCCCTGCGCGCTCTTGGATTCGAACCCAAGAAAGATGAGATGAAGAAGTTAGTGGCAGAAATAGATACAGATGGAACGGGTGAGCGAACGCGATGTGAAGAAGTTCACATGACTTAATTCCTTCTTACATGTTTTTAAGACTAACCGATTTATAAGGTACATGAACACTTTTCTGCTTCATTGCGACCGAGGTATTCCTTGAATTGTTAATGAAAAATAAATGAGATGACGAGATGACATCTCTGCTTTTTGTTGAAATTGTCCCTTTTCCGAAAGCAAAGATTTTTAAAAGCAACATTTAACAAAATCAATGATTTTTGTTTTTATTTCAATTTAATTCGCTAAGAACCTATTTGTTGTGATTTGTGCACTCGTTACCAGGTATCCTCGATTTCGATGATTTTCTGACGTTAATGACGAAGAAGATGACAGAGAAGGACGACACAGAAGATTTACAGAAAGCCTTCTGGTTGTTTGACGAGGACGGGACCGGTAGGATTTCCCGCGCAAACCTGGACCGCGTGGCCATAGAACTGGGGTACGACCCCGACAAGATGCAGGACGAACTACAGGTAGGGGGAAGGAGAGGGCATTGCTGATGGCGGGAGGGGGGGGGGGTACAGGTCGGGGGTTGGGATGGTATACTGTTGATACTGATAATGCTAAGGGACGAATTACAGGTAGGATGTAAAGGAGGGTATATTGCTGATAGGCTTGGGGGATCTTGGTGAGGTACACGTACATGTATTGTGCTCACAAAAAATAAGGGGCTGAGGGGAATAATATGTACAAGCTTCATTTGATTAAAGAAATGCTTGACTGGGCGAATCTTTCTGTTTTAGGAGATGATTGATGGGGCGGATCGAGATGGTGACGGCGAAGTCAACGAACACGAATTTCTTAAAATGATGAAGAAAACTTACACGTGATGTCGTAAAATCCCTGAAGCTGCAATCAAACCATATTAATTTTAAGACAACCAATAACGTTTAAAGTGTTCCGATAATGTAAAACTTTATTTTGGTGCTTAATTCTAAACTGCATGACAAGATATGACAAAATCACTAAATGTCATTGAATAAAAAAAGTAGATCGACGTAATTTGACTCTTAGTTTTTATTTATGTATAAATTCAAAACTTAATAGAAAAAGGACGTATCAGTTTGGATCTGGTCTGTGAACTCCCAAAATGTATGTAATTGGCGCGTGCAGAGAGAAAGAGAGAGAGAATAAGAAAATTAATTAAAGGACAATATAATGAGGCAATTTAAAGGTATAACATTGTGAACATAGAGAAATATTGAAAAAAAAGTCTTCTTTTGCTAACGATCACCAAGTGTGAAAAACCACAGTTTTAACAAAAGCATGATAGTGATCGCTCACTGAATACACTGAAACCTCGGAATGTAAAGTGTTGTTATTTACAAAAACAATGGTAAGTAATTTTTTTTAATTTCTTCAATATTTTAAGTCAAACTTGATTAGGTTATACATGTTATTCAAATAATTTTGTAGATAGAAAAGTATTATTTATAATAGTCTATATAAGTTTGTTTAATTAGGCCTCTGTTAGTAAGAAGAACTCTAAAATAACTAAGAAAACATACCTAAAGCTGACTGAAGAACAAGAACTTGACCTTCGGGAGGCCTTTGACATCTTCAGTAGAGGCGGGGAAGAGAAAGGAGATGGTACGATAGATGCCCAGGATCTTAAGGTGACGTCATAGCTGACAATGGGTCACGGTTTTCATGAATTTAGTATAATTACCCGGTATACAATTCATGTATATTTGGAATATCAGGTTCTCCTTCTGAGATAGGAAATGTTTATTAACGGTTTAACATCATTGGTCATTTCTTGGATTTTACAACATGAAAACGTCTATAAACCCAAAATACGAGGGGTGATCAGAAGTTCGCAAACTAATTTAATAACTTCTGAAAAAGAAATGATATACGGTTAAAGTGTTAAAAATGTTTCAAAGTAGTCTTCTCCGATTTTGATGAGCATATGAAACCATTTGCCAATGCGCGGATCACGTGATATATGCGGTCACGTGACATGCTCCTTAGCGTTCTGTCACAGAAGCTTAAGATTTTTCCGACTCTTATATTTCTTACCATGCAAGTTATTTTTTGCAATTAAACAGTTCATTTGTCAGAAATGGCATAATCTCGGCAAACGTATGGGTGGATGATGATATCCTTTTGAAGAATGAGCATGGTGACCACCAAAACCCAAGTCTTCTGTCTTTTGAGAGTCGTTTATCTCATGAGGATAAAGTATGGGTGCCTTCACTTTATCATATCTGATATGTTTAAAGTCTAAAGTAAACGATATTTTAGGAATTTGATAATTATATTATTGTAAAGATATTCATCTATTTTTCTAACTGTAAGTTATCAAATTGCTTAACAAAGGGCACGTCCCTCTCCCAGCTTGCGTTAACTGGACAACAGAACAAACGTCATTTTTTTTAAACATCTCCCTTCCCTCACTTAAACAATCAATCCAATTAATGACAAAACTTCTGGCAAGTCTTTTGTCTTCCTTAACCGTGTACAAATTATGTTAACTCGAATACGACTGAGTCAACCGTATTTTGTCACAAGTGATCTACCTTATGACGTCATTTTACCTTGTGACGTCATAAACACGGAGCTATTGCATATGCTATTTATAGAACATGTGTATGACCTTATGTGTACCAAAATTTCATTCTGATCTGAATTGTGGTTTTGTAAATATAGAGATAGTTTGCGAACTTTTTGATCACCCCTCGTAATGCTGTATTTTTTTTTCACTTATTTCAAAATTCAAACCATGATAAATCTATCTCAACGCAGAAACATATATATGAAGCATTACTTTTTTATGTTAACCGGAATTAACATGCATGAATATTAATAGAAATATGATCGATAATGTAGTATATTTTATTATAGATTGCATTGCGAGCACTTGGGTTCGAGCCGAAACAGAAAGAGATCCGGACACTTATAGAGGAAGTAGATAAAGAAGGAAAAGGTAAGAATCATCAACTTCAGACCAATCGAACACTCCCAGGTCCTTATTTAGATTTAGAATTCTCGCTGCATTGTACTAACAAAAGGTGGTAGACTAACTGTTTTCAACTGTTGTCTAAGCTATCAATAGTCTCTCATAGTCGTGTCAAAAGTACTAAAAATCTGCTACTGGAGTATCAAGCTCTTGTCAATCAATCAATTAATCAATCAATCAATCGATCAATTAATTTTCAGATGTGTTTCTTGGGGTCAAATTAATCATGATCTTTAATCATAAAGTAAAGATAACTAATTTCAGGATAATCAGATGATTAATTTACAGAAGAAAATATTGTCGAACAGATATAACAGCTAAACATTTCTCATTTACAGTTATACGACTCTTTGCTTTCAGGTTTGTTAGATTTTAAAGATTTTCTTGCAATAATGACGAAGAAAATGACCCAGAAAGACGAAACAGAGGATCTAGAGAAAGCATTCCAATTGCTGGACCTGGACGGGTATGGAAAAATTAATTCTGGAGATCTCAAATGGGCAGCTTCAGAACTGGGTTATTTTACGGGAACGATGGCAGAGGAACTCCAAGTAATTAATAAGCTAGGCATTACCGGGGTTTATTTTCAAACAATACGAGGGATGATCAAAAAGTTCGCGAACTATCTCTGTATCTACAAATAGCCATACACAATGTCTATAAATAGCATATGCTGAATAAAGTTTTTCTCCTTGTTTGTGACGTCACAATGTGAAAATGACGTCACTATGTAGATCACTTGTGACGAAAAATGGTTGTCTCAGTCGAACTCGTTCAACAAACGACTGTACAATTTATTGTATATCTTAGAAATCCCTCTGCAGTATCATATAATAATTTGTACACAGTTTATTGAGATAAATGAGTTCCTATAAATTCAATACATGATTGAATTGATCGTTTAAGTGAAGGAAGGCAGATGGTTAAAAATGATACTTGTCATCTTGCCCAGTGAAAGCAAGTTTGAAAAGATATGTATTTTTAATTAAGCAATTTGCTATTAAAGACCTCCAATTAACACTTTGAAAAATAGTTAAATATTTGAACAATAATATAATTATTAAATACCTAAGATATCGTTAACTTTGGATTTTAAACATATTAGATATGATAAAAAGGAGGCACCCTTTCTCTATCCCCCTTGAATAAAGGTCTCCCCCGAGACAGAAGATTTGTGTTTTAATGGTCGCCATGCTTATTTTTGGAAAGGATATTCTTGTCCACTCATTCTGTTGCCGAGATATGACCATTTCTGACAAATGAACTGTTCTTGTCGTAAAAATTAACTCACATGAAAAGAAATATAAAATTCAGAAAACTCTTTCAACTTTTGTGACAGAACGCTACGGAGGGGGTCACGTGACCGCCAATATCACGTGATTCACGCATGCGCAGAACGGTGGTTGATGTGCATTAAAATCGGGGAGGATTAATTTAAAATATAATCAACATTGAAAGCAAATATTGTTTTTTATGGAAGTTATTCAATTAGTTCGCAAACTTTTTGATCACCCCTCGTATTTGTCAAAGTTTTCAATTTCGTCATAAAGAGGATTATTCAAAAGGATTTTTAAACGGATGTATATCCTAAACAAATGATTAGAAATTAGGCATCTGCAAAATTACTTCCTTCAAATCACCTGGTTGTACAAGTACTTTTAAAAGGATTACAATGTCTTCATTGACATCATCGGAGACCAAGTTTTCTAACAAATGTTGGAATTTCGATGGGCAAAAATTTTGGCTCCTATTTTGGTTATCTGTTTTATATTCCTTTAAAGCAGAAAGAACTCCTATATGATATGAAAACACTTGCCGAAATTATCAATCAACATTCAATTACGATTTTTATGTCATGAATTCAATTTGATGAAATGTTCGTTCGGATACTGACTGTTGAACATTACTCATGAAGGATATCTCTCTCTTACAATATTGCTCACTGGCTATGACAAAATAAACATTAATCTAGTAATCTAAATACTGTCAACGTTAGATTTACGTAAATTAAAAAAAAATTAATTTACATTGATAACACTTTTGCTTTATACCTGTCAAAATTTGAATATTTAAAGCATCGACGTTATAGATTCAATAAAAATTCTTAAAGATTCTAGCAATAGATGCTAAGAGCTGGTTGTCTACACGTCCTTCTAGGTAAGTGGCATGTTGTGCTGTTTTTTTCTTCCGTATTTCATACACAGACATTTTAAAGTCCGTTCTTTTCCAGGAGATGATCGATTTTGCTGATCGAGATGGCGACGGTTTGGTCAACGAACGAGAATTCGTCAAATTCCTGAAGAAAACATCATTTGAATAAATGACTCGTCAGCATTCTTATAAATAAACCAAGCTACATGTATTGCCTATTTGATTGAATGTTGTATTAAATGTTGTCTTTACTAAAATTGATGATCTTGCCTTGGAATAGTTTTGGCTAGAACAAATGCTTAAGCATGTCTTTCAATTACTAAAAGTACCTTAATGTGAAACTATCTATCGTCAACTTTCCTTACTTATGCAGCAATATACAATCATCACCTGCATACGGAGTGTACATATCTCAGTTGGTTAGATACGCAAGAGCACGCTCTACGTATGAACAATTTCTAAAACGACGTAAATCATTGACAAACAAGTTGATGAAGACGATATGGAGACAACGAACAGTATTCAATCTTAAAGTTCATAAAACAATACAAATAGGAGCAGAGCTAACACGGATCTCGAAAACATCAGAGGTGGGATCAGGTGTCAATGAAACAAGAATATCAACAGTCTCGTTTAAAGTCATCATTTCGTAAGTTCTATGGTCGATACAATTACCTTATCAGCAAATAATTTAATTCTCGTTGTAACGCTGTATTTGATTGGATAAAAATTTTAATTTAAATCGTATGAAATGGGTTGCCTACGTCACAATGACTTGCGTCAAAAACGTATCAATCCGCCTGACGTTACTTTCAAATTTTGCACAAATTGAAGTCATTTTGTGAGAACAATCATCTTTTTTTCTTACATCAATTGAATGAAAAGTAAATTATAAGGAATGAATTGTTTTCATACGATAACATGGTTGACAGTTTACGCTTTTTTATAAACCGCTTCGCGGTATATAAAAGTAATTAAACCCAGTTTATACCGTATAAAATGGGTAGCTATTAAATTCATTCCTTAAATACAATTTATCATTGAGTCAAGTGCTGACTGACGTTTTTCATACTAATTGTTAGTCCATTATTTATACACTGAATTGACGACGGATTTTTCTGTTATTTCCCGATCATGACAAAGAGAACACAGCGGGTGTGACTGGTCAGCAGGGGATACTCCTCCATGGCACCTTACCCACCTCTGATGTTTTGGAGGATGTTTATTTCATATTTTGTATTGTTTTTTGGACTTTGAACAATGCTGTTCATATATTTCATATATATTCAAATGCGTAACATGCCTTTCAGTTACAAAAGGTACATTAATGTGAACCAAGGTATCAAAGCTATCTCGATGTGAACTACGGATGCATGATCCCGGAACTTAAAGGCATTTTAGAATCAATGTTTATGTAAAGTCGTGTAGACATCAAAGGTGCTAGTTTTGTTGTTACACTTGCAACTTTTGTTGTTTATGTCATGTGGTTGATTGGTAAGACTTTTTTATGCAACACTTGACATCATATGACGTCATATATAATAAGTAATTAAACGCAGAGGTATGGATTTAGAGGTGCCACCATGACGTCATTGTGCAGTGGTATGGATGCAGGGGTACATCTCAGTGAGTTAATCCAATCCAAGAGATCTTTCATTAAGACATTAGATAATGTTTATTTCTTTACGTTCAAACAATCATTGTTCAATATATATCCTGGATGCATTCTGTGACATATTTTCATCCACAAATAAACAATTATTAAGTTCATACTTGAATAAAGGACATTTTTATAAAATTAGGAAACAATAAAATGCATAGAGGCTCAAATAATGGACGAAATTTCACAACAGAACATACGAAACTAGTTTCACAATTCCTAATTACGACACAAATACGGCTTTTAGAGTACTTCATACGAATTTGAGCCGCAGTATTCCCTGTTATGACATTTAGCATTCTACATTTTTAAAAATGGGTTCCAGAACTCGGAATACGACATTTAGTACTCCGGTGATACTTCTTGCCAAGGTATACACAAACAGAATCCTTGGACTCCTGATGAGGATAATTAAGATTTCTGGTAATGCGTTAGACATTTTACATATAGTTATACAGGTTAAACCCGGAATAACTGATTACGGCATTAAGCATTTCCGGCAGTGTTTTACGACATTTAACATTTGTGGCAATACTTCCTACAGTGTAGATATACGAAGGCTGTGTATATATGGTTAGTGCACATGTCGGCGTTGTATTCATCACAGTTAGGAATTGTGTCCTCACACACACCTACAACATACATAGCATACGGTGGAGTATAAACTTTATCTAATAAACTGAAAATTTCGAATTCAATAATAATGAATACAAACCTAATTCAAAATTATGACTACAGTGTTCGAAGGCCTATAGGTTACCGCGTGATGCAAATTATGACAGTTATTACAACATATTTCCTAGACTCAGTATTGATAGCTCACCTGGATGACATAGTCCACAGCTTTTTCTACAGTGATCAGATGCCCACGGGTAGTATATACTTGTTGTGTTACAGATATCAAACAAGTTATAGGAACTACAGCTAGCGTTGACAGCATCCACACAGTCATCAACTAGAAAGGAATAGCACTACTAGTATTTCTTTCTCATCAACTGACTGTGAACAGTCTCAGTATGAGTACTTTCACCATAGAACAGCGCCAAAACGCGAAAAACAGGTACTTAATTATTATGATGTTTATTTTTCTTTTTTAAAGAAATTGTATTGTAATGGGTCTAAATGGGATGTATTTCAACTGAAACAATAACTCATGAACAAAAAAACCGTTAGTCAATACTTTTCTTTTGCACAATTATATACTGTATTTATAAACACATTATGAAAAACATCAGTTCAAAATATGATTCATTCTTATATCTGGTTTATTTACCAAGCATAATAAATAGTATCTACCTACTTGTTATGACCGGCGGCTGTGTGGAACTGTTATTGCTGCCAGAATTGTTCAATGTAGAGAGTACTGTTTGTACAGTTGGTAAGTGAGTAGATGAAGCTAACGATGTGGATGTTGACGGAGTCGTTGAGTGTGATTGATTAACGTTACCAGTAGTCTGGTTAGATACAGGAATTGTAACGTATCCATGAGTTTGTTCAGTTTTTCCAGTGGAGTTGGTAGGTGGAGAAATTGATGTAGTATTTCCGTAGGAATTCACTGGGGAAGAAATGTGTAGTAAAACGAAGGCCAAATACAACAGCTAGGTTCTGAGGAAATAATTATTTTCCAGCATTAAATGTTAGTGTCATATTGAGTTTTAAGAGAGAGAGAGAGAGAGAGAGAGAGAGAGAGAGAGAGAGAGAGAGAGAATTTTCCCTGTACTTACTAGGACACAATGCACAGGTTGCTGGACACGCCTTCTTAACGTCTGGCATTGTGTGACATCTGTCTTTTAACAAGGGACAAAACTGATCTTTGTCAGCACACACATTAGCTAGAAGCAAAGTTACCAGTTATTTATCTATATATAGTATATGTACCAGTACGTGTAAATTATGTAAAGAGCATATGTAACAGTACGTGTAATTTATCTATGGAGTATATGTACTAGTACGTGTAATTTATCTGTAGAGTATATGTACCAGTACGTGTAGTTTATCTTTAGAGCATATGTAACAGTACGTGTAATTTATCTCTAGAGTATATGTACTAGTACGTGTAATTTATCTATAGAGTATATGTACTAGTATGTGTGGTTTATCTTTAGAGCATATGTAACAGTACGTGTAATTTATCTATAGAGTATATGTACCAGTACGTGTAATTTATCTATAGAGTATATGTACTAGTACGTGTAGTTTATCTTTAAAGCATATGTAATAGTACGTGTAATTTATCTATAGAGTATATGTACCAGTACGTGTAATTTATCTGTAGAGTATATATACCAGTACGTGTAGTTTATCTTTAGAGCATATGTAACAGTACGTGTAATTTATCTATAGAGTATATGTACTAGTACGTGTAATTTATCTATAGAGTATATGTACTAGTACGTGTAGTTTACCTTTAGAGCATATGTAATAGTACGTGTAATTTATCTATAGAGTATATGTACCAGTACGTGTAATTTATCTGTAGAGTATATGTACCAGTACGTGTAGTTTATCTTTAGAGCAAATGTAACAGTACGTGTAATTTATCTATAGAGTATATGTACTAGTACGTGTAATTTATCTGTAGAGTATATGTACCAGTACGTGTAGTTTATCTTTAGAGCAAATGTAATACGTGTAATTTATCTATAGAGTATATGTACTAGTACGTGTAATTTATCTATAGAGTATATGTACTAGTACGTGTAGTTTATCTTTAGAGCATATGTAATAGTACGTGTAATTTATCTATAGAGTATATGTACCAGTACGTGTAATTTATCTATAGAGTATATGTACCAGTACGTGTAATTTATCTATAGAGTATATGTACCAGTACGTGTAATTTATCTATAGAGTATAGTACCAGGACGTGTAATTTATCTATAGAGTATATGTACCAGTACGTGTAATTTATCTATAGAGTATATGTACCAGTATGTGTAATTTATCTATAGAGTATAGTACCAGTATGTGTAATTCATCTATAGAGTATAGTACCAGTACGTGTAATTCATCTATAGAGTATAGTACCAGTACGTGTAATTTATCTATAGAGTATAGTACCAGTACGTGTAATTCATCTATAGAGTATAGTACCAGTACGTGTAATTTATCTATAGAGTATATGTACTAGTACGTGTAGTTTATCTTTAGAGCATATGTAATAGTACGTGTAATTTATCTATAGAGTATATGTACCAGTACGTGTAATTTATCTATAGAGTATAGTACCAGTATGTGTAATTCATCTATAGAGTATAGTACCAGTACGTGTAATTCATCTATAGAGTATAGTACCAGTACGTGTAATTCATCTATAGAGTATAGTACCAGTACGTGTAATTTATCTATATAGTATAGTACCAGTACGTGTAATTTATCTATAGTGTGTATGTTCCAGTATGTGTAATTTATCTTTGGAGCATATGTACAAGTGCGTGTAATTTATCTATAGAGTATATGTACCAGTACGTGTAATTTATCTATAAAGTATATATACCAGTACGTGTAAATTATCTATAGAGTATAGTACCAGTACCAGACCTGCCTACCCTTTTCGTTGCAAGGGTGTAATTTCAGAAAATTTTTGGTGGAACTTCAGAGGTAAAAGCGTAATAAACCATGTTTTCCCCATTTTGTTGCTTTACTATAGTACTTTTTCTTCTTCTAAAACCACAGAAATTGTAAATTACTAAACAAACCTGGCATAAACTTTTTTTTTTCGAATCATCCATTGGCAAAAAAGTGTTGTAAAATACCAGTATCCTATATTAAACTCAAATCAACCGCACACCCATGATAAAGTATTTGGTAAATTTGTATCAAATCACTTAATTGAAGGCTTGCGTTTGCATGTTTATACAAATTGTACATACCACTTTTTTTCTCTTTTTAACACTCACATTTCTCCATCTTGTTCAAAGCAATGTTAAAATGAACTAAATTGAGCATAGAAATGGGTGTACTTATAGTGATGTAATTTAATAGTTAAGGTAAGTAGTGCCTTCTCGTGTTCTTCGTCGCCAGCGTGGCGCAGTGGTTAGAGCGTCTGCTCTAGAGTCGCGAAATAAGGAGTCAATCCTAACGTCGCGGCTTCGAATCCAAATGTGGGACTTGGATATCGGTCCTTCGGATGAGACCATATAAACCGAGGTCCCGTCGCAGTAGGTGCTGGCACGAAAAAGGTCCCTCACTGATCAATGGCCCTAAGTGCCGAGTATAGGACAAGATTTGAAGCTCTCCTATAGCAAGTTGTGGCGTCGCCATATTGATGAAAATTCTCGACAGGGACGTCAAATAAGATACATTCAATAAATCATCTCGTGTTCTTCCGAATCTTCGCCATACTAATTTACATATAACTATTAGGTATATAACGTTTGTTTTCGAACTTGTCCTCTATTAATTTTAACTATTAAATTTAGACGTTCATAATGGATTTAAACCAAAATAACAAAAGCGTAAAATTAATATCAGTGGCGTAATAGCGTAATTTTGTGGTAAAAAGTGGAAGAATTACGCCAAAAGCGGAAGGGTAGGCAGGTCTGCAGTACGTGTAATTTATCTATAGAGTATAGTACCAGTACGTGTAATTTATCTATAGTGTGTATGTTCCAGTATGTGTAATTTATCTTTGGAGCATATGTACAAGTGCGTGTAATTTATCTATAGAGTATATGTAACAGTACGTGTAATTTATCTATAAAGTATATATACTAGTACGTGTAATTTATCTATAAAGTATATATACCAATACGTGTAATTTATCTATAGAGTATATATACCAGTACGTGTCATTTATCTATAAAGTATATATACCAGTACATGTAATTTATCTATAAAGTATATATACCAGTACGTGTAATTTATCTATAGAGTGTATATACCAGTACGTGTAATTTATCTATAGAGTATATATACCAATACGTGTAATTTATCTATAGAGTATATGTACCAGTACGTGTAATTTATCTATAGAGTATAGTACCAGTACGTGTAATTCATCTATAGAGTATATGTACCAGTACGTGTAATTTATCTATAGAGTATATGTACCAGTACGTGTAATTAATCTATAGAGTGTATATACCAGTACGTGTAATTTATCTATAGAGTATATGTACCAGTACGTGTAATTTATCTATAGAGTATATGTACCAGTACGTGTAATTTATCTATAGAGTATATGTTAATGAAGGATAAAACACAGTGCGTTTGCTAAGCATTATTGTTATGCCTCTAAAAATTTGTTCCTATACAAATCTATACGAAAAAGTCTAACAATTCTAATGTTTTGCCGAGCGGGCATAAAAAATCGATGTTTGACCGCTGAGTGAGATGTTGGACCGGTCGATCAGATGGACAGAGTGGGAGGAGCTTAATCTCATTTTCATTTCTTGGTGTTCAACAGTGATAGACTTGATGGTACATCACTGAAGACAGTACAAAATACATGTATGTCCAAAAAATATAAAATAAAATAAAACATTTATTGACTGAGTTCTCGGGCGACATGCGTTTTATCAGACCCTTGAATTAATTATAAACTGTCTTGGGTCCAACAAAACGCATGTTTCCCTCAAACCCAGTCCAATGTATAATGTTAATCACAGAGCGAACTTCTGATTTGATTAGATAGTTAGTTTACCAGATTGGTTCCTATGACAACGGTTGTTACACAGATCTCCTTCGCAACAGCTCGAACAAAACGGATTGTCTGCGAACATCTCTAAACTTTTACATTTCTACAAAAAGATAGGGTTTCATGTTTTTATGTTTTTTTGAATTTGAACTGTTTATTAAATGGACTTCAATTTGTACATCGAATTACGTTGTGCAAAAAAATCACGTGCTTGTTCAATAAACTTTCAACATTTCCAAGGGTAAATATCACAGTGCCCGTATACGTACGGTTTCTCTAAGTGCACAGCCCGATACCCAGTGATATGACGCGCTGGTGACGTCATGAGCAAGACCGATGTAACAAGCCTGAAATAAATTGTCCAATATTTGATTGATTGTGTTGAATGCCGAGTTGAGAATATTCAGCCATATTTCGGGGGATAAAAGTTATCTTCAAGTTTGATTTTTTTTTTTAATTTCTCTAGCGGCCCCCATTGAGCCTACTCTTACGTACCCTATCAATGGAACAGAGCTTAATGTGATCACAGCTGCCCGGATGTGATTGGTAGTCACAATGATAGCAGAGGGTTCCGGAGTGTTCCGGTAGAGCTGTAGAAAATATATAAAAAGTGATGCATCTGTAGAGAAGGTCGCCCGTATGGCACAGTGCATAGAGCGTCTGCTAAAGAGTCGCAAAGTAAGGAAGTGATCCTTTCGTCGCGGGTTCGAATCCCACTGTGGGACGTAAAGACCGGTTCTTCAGATGAGACCGTATAAACAGCAGTAGGAGCTGGCACGAAAAAGATCCCTCCCTGCTCAATGGCCCTCAGTGCCGAGCATAGGAAAAAAAATTGCAGCTCTCCACCGGCAAATGGCGGCGTTTCCATATGAGTGAAAAATTCTCGAGAGGGACGTTATACAACCAGCAAATCTATAAAGAAAACATTCATACAAATTGTTAGGCCATTTTTCACAATAGATTGTCGATTTCTTTCTGTTTTTTTTCCAGTCATGACAAGGAGCACACGGCAGATGTGACCTGTCGGCAAAGGATTATCATTCCTCCATGGCACTTGATCCAACTTAATTGTGATGCTTAACAGGTTCCTGTTTGCTCTGCTCCAAAATTTGTATTGCTTAATGAACTTTAGAGCTCGACAACTGTGTTATCTCCATATATTTCACTAAGATGTCGCCAGAAAGTTTTACACACAGACAGAATGAACAACGTGACCTTTCTCTTCAAATTAAATATGAATTTGAAGTTGACCTTTCATTTTAAATGCAATAAACCGGTCACGGTAGCCTAGTCTGCATTAGAGGATAAAGTCACGGGCCTTTCGGATATGACCTTAAAAACGTAGGTCCCGTGTCACGGTAGGCGCTGGCACAATAACGAACCCTAATTGCTCAATGGCCCTGAGTGCCAAGTATAGGTCTAAATTTGAAGCCCTTCACCGGCATACGTTGACGACTCAATATAAACGAAAAATTCTCGAATGGGATGTTAAACAATATACAACCAATCAATCAACCAAATAATCAAATTGAATAGATGGTCTTCTTTAGACCACAGGGAAATTTGATAGAAAATTTCACTGCAAAACTCAAAATCTTCATAATTGAAAATAAAGTTTTAATATATGTTTGTAGTGTGATAAAATACATAAATGATTTTCTCTGTCTTGACTTCCACACAGTCCCCTACTATTACAGAGTCAGGACTGATAACTCTGACAGTCTTACCTTGACTTCCACACAGTCCTCTACTATTACAGTCAGGACTGATAACTCTGACAGTCTTACCTTGACTACCACACAGTCCTCTACTATTACAGAGTCAGGACTGATAACTCTGACAGTCTTACCTTGACTACCACACAGTCCCCTACTATTACAGAGTCAGGACCGATAACTCTGACAGACTTACCTTGACTTCCACACAGTCCTCTATTAGTACAGTCAGGACCGATAACTCTAGCAGTCTTACCTTGACTACCACACAGTCCTCTACTATTACAGAGTCAGGACTGATAACTCTGACAGACTTACCTTGACTTCCACACAGTCCTCTATTAGTACAGTCAGGACTGATAACTCTGACAGACTTACCTTGACTTCCACACAGTCATCTATTATTACAGAGTCAGGACCGATAACTCTGACAGTCTTACCTTGACTTCCACACAGTCCTTTACTATTACAGAGTCAGGACCGATAACTCTGACAGTCTTACCTTGACTTCCACACAGTCCTCTATTATTACAGAGTCAGGACCGATAACTCTAGCAGTCTTACCTTGACTTCCACACAGTACTCTACTATTACAGATCACAGTGTCATTACAGCAGGCTTCACATACTACAGAGTCGTCAGGACCGATAACTCTAGCAGTCTTACCTTGACTACCACACAGTCCTCTACTATTACAGAGTCAGGACCGATAACTCTGTCAGTCTTACCTTGACTTCCACACTGTTAGACCTCTATTATTACAGTCAGGACCGATAACTCTGACAGTCTTACCTTGACTTCCACAAAGTCCTCTACTATTACAGATCACAGTATCATTACAGCAGGTTTCACATACTACAGAGTCGTCAGGACTGATAACTCTAGCAGTCTTACGACTGGGAGGAATCATATCACAGCTCTGCCAGAATATAAAAGTTAATCAGAAAATACATATGAACACTCATATTCAGTCATTATTATAAGTCCCCAACCGGTCAAACCGGAAAAGACTATAGTTTTCCTCTGAGTCTGTCTAGCTGTCCATTTGTCTGCCTAGCTGTCTATCAGCCTGTCCCACTTGGCTTTCGGCATTTTTTTCTAAACACTTGTAGATATTAAGCTGATTTTTGATATGTAAGTGTATCATGAGGAGGTACATATCAGGTTTGAATTTCGTTCCGCGTCATTGAATTTTAACGGAATAATGGTATTTTTAATTTTTTATAAATGCCTAAATTGGGAATGTAATCGGGCTCGTGATGCAATATAGTAATGTTCCAAACGAGCTCGTATCCTAACGAGAAAAGGGGAACCTGGCAGCAAAAGACGTGTACATTTTTTCTAAGTCCTCTTTTAACAACGGGTCTTCATGTATCACCGCCGCCTTTCCGCTTTAGTTTGGCTAACATTGCGGAAAAAAATAAATTGTTTGCTGTTTTAAAATCCCGAGAATTAACAATATCGACTCCAAGTTCTTTCTCAAAATGTTTTGCATCCATAACAAATGGACAGGAAGGACTTTTTGGAACAGAGCTCCCCTTTCTGGGTCCTGACTGCTGCATAAACTTTTCGTAGCAAATCATTCAAATCATTGTTTGTTGCACATGTAACCGCCAGATCTAAATCTTTTTCAGGACAAAAGTCTTTCCATACCTTTAGCGCTCCTTTTATTACACTCTTAGTACTTACAGAGTCTCTTTTTTTCTAAAACTTGAAGCAAATCGTCTTCACGTACATCACTAGACCTTGCCTGAGCTGCCATACCGAAAGTGAAAATGTCGTCAGGTAAATAGTGATGTTGTGATCATCAAAACGTTTGAATATCACGACGACGCTTTAAACATGCAACAGTTCGACTGTTTCATGATCACGCAAAAACAGTTCAAAATGCCTAATTACAATTTATATTGTAGGTTAGGTAATAATACTAATTAGGAGCAGGAGATGGAAAAATCAGAAGAAGATTCGGGTACAATGAAGGAGTAGACATCCCCTAGTCAATCGGTTACACCTAACATGTGCTTCTTGAAGTTGCTCAATATCTAGGCTCTGTAGATGTTTTAGAAATTTAAAAGCAATAGTAGATGCGTAGTTGTAAGAAAAAATACTTGAACTTGAAATATGAGCCAGCACTGGAATAAAAGACTGAACAGTTCTGTGATGATGAATATTAGTTAATCTACTGTGTCAATGCCTTCGATGGAACATTGAAGTTTGTAACGTTAAATGCAATATTTGTAAATTAAAATTTCTTTAGTAAATGTAGTTACCGAACCTTTACATAATATATGCATTTTTGGGGGAGTGTGTACTGCTTGATCATCAAAAAGTCAGATTTCATTTATCGTATGTATTCATAAGATGAAACAACTTGTCACTGGCATAATATCGAATTAGATGATGATAAGTAGAGAAAAGAAATAAAAATAATAGTTGTACTCACCAGATTTGAAGCACATCCTAGATCATATCTCACGTGACCAGCGTAGTTCACGTATTTCTGAACAAAACATTGCTGGGAAAAACATAAAGAGCCATTAGAGAAATACTAAAAAACAATGGGATGCCTTCGTATAGCATATTCTATTTTTAAGTATTTGAGGTATTTTCTTGAAAAACTATGGAAATAAAACATTTATAATCTGAATTCCTTTCATTTTGTAAGCTTAAAATAAAGCCTATACTGTATTTTGACCACTCAATGCCAGAGAAAAATGATTCTTATTCACAAAGACTAATTTATTTTTAGTTGTAACACGTCATTTGATTGGATAAAAAATATTTTATATTTTATAACATAAGTTGCCTAGGTAACAATGAGTTACGTCAAAAACGTTTACTCCGCTTGATATTAATTTTAATGTATATGCTCAATTTGAAGCCATTTTTGGAGGAATAATTGTCTTATTGTCTACATTGAAATTAAATTATAAGGAATGAAGCTTATTTTTAATCTATGTTATACATACGATATAACATAACTTTGGGCAGTTTACGTTTTTTTTATAAACTGCGAAGCGTTGTGGCAACGTACTTTGAAAAAATTACGCACTTTGAAAAAAATTTTCAAAGTGCGTTAAAATTGGGACAAAATCAACGCACTATGAAAAATTTTTTCAAAGTGCGTTAAATTTGGGACACACTCAACGCACTTTGAAAAAAAATTTTCAAAGTGCGTTATGAGTGTACATAAACATTTTCTACCATGGGAACATTTAACGAACTTTGAAAAAAAAAAATGTTCAAAAAAATAAAAATCTAGCCTTAGTTTTTGTAATTGAGAGAATCAATTTGTAATAATTGTATCTTTCGAAAAACTTTTTACTTTACATGTACCGTATATACTAGCCTATAAGTCGGTTGTATTTTTGACGTTAATTTGGTGGGATTTGCTATTGACCCGCTTATAAGTCGGTATATTTTTTTGCCAAAATCTGGTGATAATTTCAAGTAAATCCTTTAATGTTTTAACCTGGTTTCAATTTTTTTTTTCGAAATGACACTGATATTTAATAATAAATCATTAAATAAAAAGGCAATGCTCACTTAAAATACAAATAAAATTATTAAAATATGTAAATACTTGTTTTTTATATAAAATCTACGAATACATAATTTATCATATATATCCTGCAGACATTTTCTTTGATTATAGTATGAAATGCAAATAAGATACTACATTCAGCCCCCAGAAAAATACCAATCTCTTTATGACTCGCTTATAAGTCGGACAAAGAGTTTTAGACTAATATTTAACTCCCAAAATACCGACTTATAGGCGAGTATATACGGTACTCATTTAACCTCACTGAACAAGGAGAAGACGAGTAGGTCTCAGCCCAACTCTTTTTTTCGTATACATTTTACATGGCTGTCGTAAGCAAATTGAAATTCCCCCCCCCCCCCCCCCCCAGGTAAGCTCCAATTTCTAATGCCTTCATTATGTATATTTTTGCAAAACATTTGTGTTCCTAACCCCATCCCCTTCCCGGTACCGATGCCTATGCTACACCCAAATATATGTATTTACACTACTGGCATAACGTTGAAAACTTTCAATAAATTTTAGTTTACATAAAGTGCTTGCAAACTGGAAAAAATTAAGTACAGTAAAACATTTAAGAGAGATTGTTCAAAGTATGGAAAAATCAAAATCGCTCACTTTCACATCCTGAAGTGGCCTCATCACCGAAGAATTATCAAAAAGGTTCAATTATTCATCATACCTAAGATTTGCAAGAATATTGACCAAGTCACACACATCTTTTTAAAGTGCGTAAATATGGTCGATATTAACGCACTTTGAAAAGAAATTTTGTTTTTTCAAAGTGCGTTGATTTGGTCCCAAATTTAACCCCCTTTGAAAAAATTTTTCAAAGTGCGTAATTTTTTAAAGTGCGTTGTAACAAAGCGTAAACTGCCAAAGTTGTGTTTTGTCGTATAACATAGGTTAAAATAAGCTTCAAGCCTTAAACAATATCGCTTTCTGTGATGAAGATAAAATCAGAGTAATATAATATTGAAATAGAAATTCAATCAGTGCCCGAAGCGATATCCAAAAAGTGTCATCTCATGGCCTCCAAAAAGCTTCATGACAGATTCTATAGTTTCAGAAACTACGTTCTGTTTCAGTACACTTACTGAATCACAGTGGTCATTTCAATAAGCTGCTACCGTTCATGGTAGCTCAGTCGGTAGAGCGCTCGCTCCGTGATCGGGAGGTCGTGAGTTCGTATCTCGGCCGCAACTAACCCAGTCGATAAAATGGGTAGCAACTGTTCCTTCGCCATGCGCTCGGCAAATTAAAGTGAAAGTTGCGGGTCCTTCGGATGAGACCTTAAAAACCGAGGCCCCGTGTCAGCGGCAGGCGTTGGCACGATAAAGATCCCTCACTGCTCAATGGCCCTGAGTGCCGAGTAAAGGTCAAAATTTGAAGCCCTTCACCGGCATGCGGTGACGTCTCCATATGAGTGAAAAATTCTCGAGAGGGACGTTAAACAATATACAATCAATACAATCAATAAGCTGCTAAGACTAACTTGTTTTCTCCTCAAAGTATGTCGTAACAGTTTCTAATAATATGTACTGCGAAACAACGAAGCATCGAATAGGACAGTTTTCATCTTCCAAATTTTATATTTACTCCCACCCAGTCTTATATTATACGCATGACATACAAATTAAGGAACCAACATTCTTGAATTTTCTTACTACCCTATAAAGGAAAAAAAGGCACTGCTTACAAAAGGAAAAATATTTTTCAGTCTAATGTTCTACACTATTGTACAAAGGAAGAACGTTCTTTAGTTTTCTTCCTCGTTTACTACACATATCGTACATAGGGAAAGCATTCTTTGGTTTTCATCTCAAGTTCTACGCATTGCTTACAAGGGAACAACATTGCTGTCTTATGTTCTACGTATATCGTACAAAGAAAGAACAATCTTTTGTTTACAATCTACGCATTGCATACAAAATGTACCTTCTTTCATTTCTCCCCTACGACCAATATTGTACAAATGAAACAAAAGGACTGCTTACAAAGGAATAACATTCTTTAGTTTTCTTCCTCATTTACTACGGATATCATACAAAGAAACAAATAATCGCTTTAGTTCCTCTAACTCACGCACTACGCATTGCATACAAAGGAAGAACATTCTATAATATTTCTACTATCCTACAAAGGAAGAACGCTCTTTAGTTTTCTATCTTAGATTTTCCAAAAATTGTAAAAATAACGTTCTTTAATTTTCTCTCTGCTGTTTTCTATGCACTGCGTATGAAGGAACATCAATATTTTCCTATTTATATCCTGTTTTCTCACTGTGTCACAGTCACATACTCTGTAGGCTTCTATTTCGTGTTCCCAAAATATCTCTCGAAATTTATGGTTTTTAAAGTTTAAATTTAATTCTATAGGTTCCTACCTCGTGTTCGCCGCATTGCGTCACCATGGAGCATTCTATTGGTTCCGGAATATCCCTACAGGACAGACACGTCTGACCGCCATTCACTGATTATAGACAACCATCATTAAAAAAATTAAATAGCCTAACAAGAAACTGTAAAAATCAAGTTTTCGAGTTTTGGGGGGAAAATACAGAAGTTGGAAAGTGATGTCGAATAAGATGATAAGTTGTTCAAGTATTTTATTTACGGAAATTAAAATTTATTGTTGGACTTAAGCTGGAAGGTTTCTTAATGCCTCGAAAACTTTCTTGCTTCAAAACAATTTTTTTGGTATTCACAATTTATTTATCTTAATTCATTATCGATTCCTTCTTCATTTCAAAAATAAGGTATCATTTTTGAGTTTTATTTGGATGTAAAACGGGTTGGTCACATGATCAAATATGACTGAGTAAAAATTATTACAAATAGTAAGGTACTAAAGTTTTAAATCCATAAAAGATTTATTTCTTCAATATTCAACGTTATGAATTGAATGCGTTGATCACGTCGATCACGTACGACGTCACTATGAAAATACATAAATCGCTTATGACTAAACAATCAATTTATGATCACATGACGAACATATTTTACAGAGATGTAAAAACGCCTTGCTCAAATAGTGTTATATAAGGGAAAATATTTGCAAATGTAAATATAAAAGAATGAATCCACAATATATAATGTAAAACTATTATATGTTTTACTCAGTTTTTTTTAAAATGAAATATATAGATAACGAACAGTAATCACGTCATGGAAACTATGCAAATCTGGAGCTAAGAAATCACGGACCTCTTAAACATTGGGAGGTTAAGAATAAATTTATCGTTTAAAGGTTCGGGATTAGAACAGAGTAGAAAACTTGAATATGTAAATAAAACACCTATGTCCGATCCTTCCTAGCTTACTCTAGACACTCTATTTAATAAGGCTTACAATCTTGAATTTCAAGGAGAGGGGATTGTCAAAAGTATACATGTTATTATAAGTATTATTTTCACTCTTTGGCAATCAATATCATTTACACATTGAATTGACGACGGATTTTTTCATTATTTCCCGATTATGACAAAGAGCACTCGGCGGTTTTGACCGGTTGTCAGGGGATGAGCATTCCTCCGTGGCACTTGATCCCACCTCTGAAGTTTTGGCGGCCCGTGTTTGCTCTGCTCCTATCTAGTATTGTAGATTGGACTTTTGAGATCGAATATTTTTCGTTATATCCACATATTTCAGAACAGAAAATTGTTATGACATAAATATTTTACAAGAATCACACCTGTTCTGTTCAGCAAGTACAGTAAAACATTGCTGTTCATTATTATATTGAATACCCCATCATAAGTATGAAACAATATCATGCACCAATGAATAAGATTTAAATTACATGAAATGATTCTTTGGATTACTCCCTTCTCTTTATTAGATTTCTGGGTGGGTAAAATTTTAATTAATGCTGTTTACAATGTTTATCTAAATGGAGGAGATTTTGATGAAAGCTTTATTTATAAAACATTCACCCGTTGACGTTCGACAAAAATAAGCACAATTTGGTGAATGTTTTCATAATTTGTAATTTATGTATAATAGGGATGTCATATTTACTCAAGCAGCTTAGTCGAATATTCGAAGCTTTAGTTGAACCATGGTCTACTTAGTACTCGTTGAAATATAAATTGGATTTTTCAAGTCGTTTTCACTGCCTATTACAGCCTGCTTACACTATATTTTATATAGACTTTCACCAAATTAAATGTTTTTCTACGAATTCTTTAACATTTACTATACAGTATTGATATACATGTATATGCTCAACAATTTGATTTCATATATGATACAGTATTTTCTGCACTTCTTATGCAAAAAAAAGATATAAACAAATGCTTTTATAAATTATATTCATTATGTGGAAATTCAATATTTGTTCGCAATAATCTAAATCAAAGCTTTAAAAAAGAAAATGATTTCATGGAACATGCTTATATACATGTATATGTATTTGTTCTCGGTGCTTACCCCATACAACTGTTGCCGCCGTGGTGAGAATAAATAGCAAACTGCATCTGAAATTTAAAGTTATTCAATTGCCTGAACATGTACATGTAGGGAAAAAGTAAAAAAAAAAAAATTTAAAATTACCCTCATGTTTAACATTTTTAGAGGGGCGGTAAAAAACAAACAAACAACATTTTTAAAAACGATATTTCTAAAATATGAAGTTAAATTTTAATCACTTCCATATCAAGTAAAATACAATACTAGACAGGGGAAAATGAGAAAAGGGAACCCCTACTCCGATATCACAAAAAGTAAGTATCTCGTTCTGCCTTTCACGTGCCCCATTAGCCCTCTATATCAATTTCGTAACTTGAAAAATTTGTAGTCACAAATTAAAAGATAGCTTTAACATCTGGAATAAGATATATTGATACTACAGTAGATTATCTAAATGGAAACAAAGTGCTTGTTATCTTTTACTACACTAATGTGTTGTTAGATGCACCAGTTCGTCGCTATGGGCCCTTTGCGTGCTTTCAGTTTTACGTTAATGTGAAAAGCTAAAAAAAGATAATGTCTAAATATAGCATATGGAGATGAAAACAGTATTCAAGCTCAGATGTCCATTTTACAATACAAAATTGGAGCATAGCAAACACGGAACTCCAAAACATCAGATGTGGGATCAGGTGCCATGGAGGAGTGAGCATCCGCCGTGTGCTCCTTGTCATGTTCCGGAAATAACGGGAAAATCCGTCGACAATTCAGAGTGTAAATAATGGTCTAACAATAAGTATGAAAAACGTCAGTCAGCATTTGACTCAATGGTAAATTGTATTTGCTGACAAGGTCATTGTATCGACCATACAAATAACGAAATAACGACTTTAAACTAGGCTGCTGATCATGATATCATTTTTTCAACAACATGTTAGTCATTAATTTACTTACAAAAAATGTACATTGTAGAGCATGCTCTTGCATATCGAGTCAACTGAGAGATATAAACCCCGTAGCAGTTATTTTACTGCATAAGTAAGGGAATGGAAAAGTTCAAGTCAACACGTTTATCACAGAGCTTGGTTTATTAGATTACCATTACCGTCTCCTTCAAGTAAAATATCCAAATATGAAACATATGTGTCAGACTCTGTTGTTATTTTCATCTCAAGCTCACCGGGATATATCGTATCGATATGAGAATAACGAATGTATGAATTCCGCCCCAGGATCACAAAAATTTAACAACTGTGTAAGTTCTTTGCTCAAATTATAATTTAATTTCCCTTGAATTAATATTCATATTATACTAAGTATTGTACTGAAATAAAAATTTAATTATATTGTGACCCACTGTCTTTCTTGATAATTCAAAATTCACAAACCATCATTCTAAAATAAAACTACTTTCTAACTTTTGGAACATTGTCGAAAGTTACCAAAAAATGATGGTAAATCAATATGCATGCATGTAAAAAATAGTAAAAATCAAGCTTTAAACTGTTAAATACGAAATCACAAATATATCAAAACGCCTTCATTTCTAAAAATAAAGTCTTTGTATACATTGAAATAAGAGACATGTAAAAATATAGTAATAAATTGCAACCCAGAAGATAAAATCGAACACTGGCTATACATTCTACATCTTCATCTCTAAAACATGATTTATATTCAGAGAAGGAGAAAATACGATAACATAGGTCCTCCCAGAGGATTAAATTGAAAACAATTTGATCTCTAAAAACATCATTAATTTTAAGAGACATGAGAAAATACAATGATAAAGGGCCTATCAGAAGATTAAATCAAACACTACCTTTGACACAGTACTGCCATTCCTGTATGATGTCTATAGAATGAAGGTCTTTGTGATTTAATTCTCTTATCATGTGTGACCTGTGTTCTAGTGAAATGTCAAAGAGGTGCACGGGAAATCAGACCTCTCCTCTCGCACTTTAACACGAGATCAGAAGGGTTCTCTGATTTTTGACAAACATAATATGATAACTAAAGATAAGTTAAGTAACTTGTATATTTTGATGTAGTTAAATATTTTCTATTTAAAATCATAAACGGAATGACTTTAATTTTTCAATCGTCAACTTCCCTTACTTATGCAGCAATATACCTTTATCACATGCATACGGGGTTAAAATCTCGTAATTGATTCGATACGAAAGAGTATGCTCTATGTATGATCAATTTTTTGAACGAGGTAATCAAGAAATCAGAGTAAACATTTCATTAGTTTTAAAGTCGATATAATGACCATGTCATCTATGGCATGTCAAACGTTGCAATATTCGATAATCTTGTGATGTATATTCAAAATCTTGTGATGTATGTTCGAAATCTTGTGATGTATATTCAAAATCTTGTGATGTATATTCAAAATCTTGTGATGTATGTTCGAAATCTTGTGATGTATATTCAAAATCTTGTGATGTATGTTCAAAATCTTGTGATGTATATTCAATATCTTGTGATGTATATTCTAAAACTTGTGATGTATATTCTATAATCTTGTGATGTATGTTCGAAATCTTGTGATGTATATTCTATAATCTTGTGATGTATATTCAATATCTTGTGATGTATGTTCAAAATCTTGTGATGTATATTCAATATCTTGTGATGTATAATCGAAATTTTGTGATGTATATTCTATAATCTTGTGATGTATGTTCGAAATCTTGTGATGTATATTCAAAATCTTGTGATGTATGTTCAAAATCTTGTGATGTATATTCAATATCTTGTGATGTATATTCTAAAACTTGTGATGTATATTCTATAATCTTGTGATGTATGTTCTCTTGTGATGTTATTCTATAATCTTGTGATGTATATTCAATATCTTGTGATGTATGTTCAAAATCTTGTGATGTATATTCAATATCTTGTGATGTATGTTCAAAATCTTGTGATGTATATTCAATATCTTGTGATGTATATTCGAAATCTTGTGATGTATATTCTATAATCTTGTGATGTATGTTCGAAATCTTGTGATGTATATTCAAAATCTTGTGATGTATGTTCAAAATCTTGTGATGTATATTCAATATCTTGTGATGTATATTCTAAAACTTGTGATGTATATTCTATAATCTTGTGATGTATGTTCGAAATCTTGTGATGTATATTCTATAATCTTGTGATGTATATTCAATATCTTGTGATGTATGTTCAAAATCTTGTGATGTATATTCAATATCTTGTGATGTATATTCGAAATCTTGTGATGTATATTCTATAATCTTGTGATGTATGTTCGAAATCTTGTGATGTATATTCGAAATCTTGTGATGTATGTTCGATTATCTTGTGATGTATATTCGAAATCTTGTGATGTATGTTCGATAATCTTGTGATGTATATTCGAAATCTTGTGATGTGTGTTCTACAATTCAGTGATGCGTGCAATAAAATTGCATGACGCAACAGAAAAGTAAGGACAATTTTCATTGGTTAGAAATAACGAAAGTAGCTGAAGCGTCGGGAAAACCATGCAGGTGAGAAAAAACACATCAGTTTGTTTATTGCAGCACTAAATACGAGATGCATGAGTGTTGTTCCTGGTGACATGATGGAGATATTTCGGCCTGCTAGGGAAAAAACTCAGTAAACGTAGATATATTGACAAAATTTGTAGGTACTTGTAACGATATGTCACGATGCTGCATTGTCAGATACAGTATTTATACATGCATGCTAAAAAGTTAAATCTCGTAGTAATCAATATAGCAGAAGAATAATGAAGAGTACATACTACAAAAACTGTGCAATTTGTAGCAAGATTAATTTTTGTTTAACAGCTGTTTTTATTACATTTTATTTCGTATTATTACTACCAAATACTGCTACCGTTTGTTAATGTTATGCACATGGTTATCTTGTACTTGCAAGTAAATGTAACATTTAAAAAAAAAATAATGAAAAAATAAGTCATTTAGGCTATTTGATAATAACATGCTAAATGAACATGTTTTGCTTTTTAATTCTCCTTCACTCAGTCTTTGTATAATGTATATTTTTAGACGAGCTGATCGCCAACCAGGAGATCAGAATGATAGCATCTGCTCCTGCCACTTTAAGGATGGTAAGAAGGAGGGGGACCCTGCATATTTTGCATGGAATGAAGGAAAGGCCATGGATTTCTCTGATCCTGAATGTACAAAAAGGTGAAATTATTTTTCAAAATATGACCGACATCTTGTTTTTGGATGGTGGGTGGGTGGAGTTTAATTGAGAATATTTTACTAAAAATCTTTAAAAGGGTACATGTATAAACAGAGTAGCTTACAACTGAATAAAAAAATAATTCAAGTTTAATTATTTTACAAAGGAGGAAAAAACTCAAAAGTGAGGAGTCCCTGTCATCTTCACAGATGGACCAGTTGCAGATTCCACAAGCACCAAAATGTCAAGATCAAGAAAAAGTAAAGCTCATTTAAAACACCAATGATGACAAATGACCAACACTGAAACATTTTCAATAATTTTTAATAATATATAAAGTTCTTTTAACTGTACATGATTTACAATATATTTTCAGTTGATATCAGAGCACAACTACTCAGCATCCTGCACATTTAACTGTACTCAAGAAATGCAGCGCCTCTCAACAGAAATACAACTGGAAAAGGAATTGCTTGCCCTAAAAATAGAGTCTAGTAAAAGGAAGCCAATATCAATCCATGATATTAAATACAACGAAGAGAAGGTACATTTAAAGGAATTCCAATTGTGATTTCCTATTTCCTAACAATTTCAGTTACTGTAATAAAAACTTGTTGCCATTGAGGGATGAACATCTTAGATTGACTGTTATGTTAACATATTTTGTTATTATTTGGGAGTGTTAGGTCTCTGATCAGCAGGGGCATTTTCTCTATATAAGAAGAAAATGGAGACTCCCTACCCACCCGATGTATTTTGTCGGACAGTTTTCTGTACATTGCAGGTAAATTTTTTATTTATTAACTTTCCAGCCTCTTATTGTATAGTACATTTTGGGGTTTGAAGTCAGTTTTTGCTTTTCTTTAATTTTTAAAAAAAAATTATTTAAATTCTCCTTTTCTTAGAATAAAATTCAAAAAGTAGCTTCTGATTGTAATGTATAAGACTACAGACATTGAACTTTGATTTGTTATCAAAAGGATTGATTTAAACTTGTCTAAATTAATTGTAAACAAAAATAAAAGGGGACACCTGCTATTTCTTTAAGTGTTTTTCACTGGGGGGTGGGGAAACTTTTTTGTACATACTTAAGCAATACGAGGGATTAGATAAGAATCAATTAGTATATCAGAGTCTTAAATAATATACTTTGCATAAGCATAAAAAAATTCTATATCAGTCTTTTTGAAACCTTTGAATTTTGCTTAATTAACTATGATTTATCCAATTTTGGAGCTTTTTACCTAATTCACAAAAAAAATTCATTGTACAAATATTTTATTTATTACAGTCACCAATATATCCAAATATCATCACCGGCCCAGACGTCATTCACTCCTTTGAATTGTGCTGGTAGCAGTAAGGTGTCATCATTTGAGATGGTCACAGTATCCAATACACTGAAGTCACAGGACTCAAATTTCATACATGTTCACAGGTAGGTGTATAGTCTTTGAAATTACCACAATTGACTAATTCTGGGACAGGTAAGTATGTAAGTATAGGAATGAGAGCACCAAATCCCCGGATGCACACATGGCTTTGTTTGTTATGGAACATTAAACTGAATACTGAATGGGTAGGCGTTACGCCATTGGCTGAAATCAGGTATTTAATTGTTTTCATTTTAAAGTAAAATTAATGACCTTTGAAATAAATGATAGGATGAGGGAATATTACAGAAACTATAGAACTGCCAGGGAAGATTTTAGGAGTGGGGGTTGATTTTCTATGCCGCGTGTTATTTACTGCGAATCTCTATAAGTTGAAAATAACTGCAATTTTGACCTATAAACGCCATGGGACCATATATTTTTTTTTCAGTATTTTTTGTTAGGGCTTAGAACAAAGTTTGAAATGATGCTAAAGATTTTTCTGAAATTGTCATAGTAAAGTACTGAGAAGGCCTAAGGTTTGTATGGAGTTCTATGGGAAAATAATTAGTGGTCTTTTCCCTATACAAGATGCTGTCTGATGGCGTAGTGTAGAATGTAGCGTAGAATGTTTTCCAAGTCAGCTTAAATGCAAAGGTTTGTTTTAAAATTTATCATAATGACTTGCAAAAATTTAATGCAGTTAAATTTATTGTATTCTTGAAAAATTGACTGTAACACAATTTTTTACACAATTACAAATAATCAAATTAATTTTTTTCCAACTTTTTTTCAGGGTCTCTGCCAAAATCTTTTGAGGATTTTTCCTCTGCTAGAGCATCCATGGATGCAATTGAAACAACCCAGGACATCCCAACACATATGGATAATCAGGCCATGGCCTACAGTATGTACAAAAGTTGCCATACTTTTAAAGCAGTAACTTGCGTGCCTCCAAATGGTGCACTTACATTTTGCTCCATGCTGTACCCAGGTTCTACTTCTGATGTAGCTATTGTACGTCACAGCCAAGTTTTACGAAAGTTCAAAGCTGGAGACCTTATTTTGGTGGTCAAAGGTTTCACCATTCATGACCAGTTGCCCCAGGGTGTCTGCTTAATTATAAAAGCTCTTTTATCGACATGAGGCCAGTTTACCATACAAGAAGCAGCACTGTGTTACAAGATTGCTAAAGCACTTATTCATGTGGAAAGAGCCAACGAGAGGATAAAGAATTACGAGATTCTCCGTTACATACCATCTACTTACAGACCAATCTCAACAAAAATATTTCAACTCTGTTCTTGTCTTGTAAACTTGCAAGCTCCACTTTT